CTTTTGAGATTTGGAAGATACTAAAAAGAGTTTTACAACTGTCTTAATGAAGCAGAAAAAAATTTGCGACCGACTTTTTTTTATAGTGAATAGGTATTTGGAGTAATATTTCAGAATGAAAACATGAAGAAAGTTCGGTATTTATTTCAAAAAACACAAATGAAACATGGTTATGAATTTAAGTGATAAACGGATTGTTTGTTTCAAGTTATTTAAAAAAAAAACATATTTTATACAAACATTTCCGAACAAGTTTTGAAATAGTAAGTAAATAAAATAGAAAGAATTTCATAAAAATTATACTGACTACAAAAATTTAATTTTATGAGAAGAATTAAATAAGAAAGAGAAGATAAGTTTTTGAGATTTTTCAAGGTTTTCAAAATTTTTAATGAAAGACTTTCAATAATAAAAACATTATTATTAAGTTTATATCTATAACAGAGAAAAAAAAAATAGTTTTTTTGAGAATGTCCGCAGTTTTGGTCAAAAATTATTATTTTAAATTATTATTTTTCAGGTATCAGTTACTCATTTTACGACATTTTAAAAAATTCACTTTTATAATATTCGTTATTATTTTTAAATATTGTTTAATTTAATTATTTTTGACTAGATAAGGAGAGAAAAGGTTCTTTTGGTTCATAGTTTACTTCAAATTTCAACAAACAATTGACTTGCATTTATTTAATGTTAACAACACAATTTGACCTCTATTTGATTTTTAACAGTTGGATTTTTTATTTTTAAAATTTAATGCTGCATTTTTTTTTTAATTTTTTAAATTTTAATATGACAAGGATTTTCAACAAAGGTAAACTATCATATATTTACGTATTTGCGAATATAATAGTAAGGAACAAAATATATTTGGCTCATGTTTAGGATTGTTCTATTGAGATATAAGGGAAGAAATAAAGAAATTGTTGAATGCGGTTGTAATTCAGCGTGTGTGGGTGTGTTTGTAGTTTTCAATGCATTTTATTGTAAAACAAAACAATGGTGATTACAAGACCATGACGCTAAAAGTTGAATCAGAAGCAAATCCGTCTAAACTTATTTTTTTCGTAACAGAAGAAAGAAATTTAATTTTAGGATCGAAAACATTTTTGGAAAGAATTTTTGGAGTAATTATATCAAGTTTAATATAACAATACTATTTTTATTAAAGAAAAAGTCGGATTTGTTTCAAATAAGACTACAGAAAAGATTGAAAAACTAAAATAATATTTGAAAGTTAATTTTTAGACGTGACTTTTTAACGAAACTCTGATGGACATGAGAAGACAATTTTAACAGAATGATACCTAATTTTTAATTGTATGTGCAAAAACTACGAGAAAAAGCTATGAAAGATTTTGAAAATATTTACGGTTGCTACTCAAATTATGCATTAATTGGAATAATTTACTGGAAACAAAGAAAAATTATTCTCTACTCAATGTTCTTGCTTTAATTAATTATGTTAGTGATTTTTCGTACATTAATGTATTCCATGACAGCTAAATAATAAGAAAACACATTCTTAAAACCAGTAGCTAATGACTATCTAGAAAATAATGAAAACAATGGTTGACGACGTGGTTTTTAAAGACAATACGGATGAACTATAGAAATTTCAATGAAACATAAATAATTAATGTGTATAAACTTTCTTTTTAATTGTATAATAGAATTGAATTTAAGACGTTTAAATAAGACAATGGTTTACAAGTTCTTCTTTTTCAGATTTCGAAAATATCAACGTTTCCTAATAATTAAAATCATTTTAATATAAATGATTCCACTTCATTTTAAATTATTTAAAGCGTTCAAATTACTTTTTTATTCATTCTTTGATAAAAAATGTAAGATATTACAAAGTATCGTTTATATTGGTTTTTTCTGTGACTGTTTTGTCTTCGTGAGAATTTTTTTTTAATTTTTAGAAGAAACAATAACGATAGAAATCGGAATTTTAAATCTAAACTAGATGCTACTTATGATTGACTGATTGATCTTTTACTGAATACACTTATATTTCATTCTATCAAAAAGCTATTCTCCGTTTCTAAGACAAGGAGCGATGCGGATACGATCTGAAACACAAAACATACTAGTTAAACTCGCTACACCAACATAACAATAATTAAATGATATTTTAACTGCATTCAATTAATGCCATTATTAATATGTACAATATCCGTTTGCTTTGAGCGATGAAAATCTAGAAGAATTGGACCGAACTAGAAGAGAAGCGAATCCTTGAATTATAATGAAGAGAATCTGAATTATTTCCAAGATTGTAATTGGACACTCATTTAGATGAGAAGTAGTTGAGGTTTTCTGCATGACATGTGGAACCAGTTATTGTATTTGTTGCAATCAGCTTTGAATTGGTGTGTTTTCATTTCCTAAGTCACATGAATTGAAGTAAGGTGAATTATTAATCTCCGGAGATAACTATCTGAAAATGAAAAAGAGGCGGTTAGACCTGAAACCCAGCTACATGTATTTCTGATTTTTAACTAACCTTTTAGAGTTAATGAAAACTGTTAAGCCTTATCCAAATCAAATTTTTCGCTAAAGAGTGAAATGTTGGAACTGCTGCTTGGAAGAAATAGTCCCATTGAACAAATTTCTGCTTGAACTTTTAGAACAAATCAAATTTGAGAGGAAATTAAACCATAAGTATTTATTTATTTTTATTAACCATTTGGCGAGATTTTTTTTACCAATATTATAATTAATTATATTTTTTTACACTATACAACTGATTTTTCACGCATAAGAACAATATTTGACAATAATTGCATTTTATATCAGTTTTGATGTTTGCATGATGAAATGTCGTGTGTTGGATTTTGGGGAAGGAATGATTTCGCAACGGAATGGTGAGCGCTGTCGCGTTTTCTACGAACAAGTGATGATTTGAGTGCTTCAGTCTGTCTATCTCCGGAGAACATCAAACAAAAATGTCACATAGACAATATTTTGTTACACATTCCTATTATCCATTCAATTGGGGTGGGGGGACACCTGAAACTGAATGGATTCATTTGGATGAAGACGCGATTAGAGATGTGAAGGCATTCTCTGGAATGTTTAAAAACGCGAGTTATCATCTATTGGACGATGTTAAAGCCTAAAGATAGTAAAAAAGAACTCTACGAAAATACGAACCTCTATGAGAGAGCATTCCGATCTGAGGTGAGGCATCATGCCAGAAACTGAATTTGAAGCATCGCGCTTGTATGAGGATTTCAGTCCATTTTCAACAAAGAAAGTCAACCAACAGAAGAGCACGAAAAGGATTCCGAGCAGCGCGGCATGAAACTTGCGAACATCTAGCTAAACCCACGAACAGCAGCAACGGGATGAGCGACGTGTCGAAACTGGAAGCGAGAATAACGACTGAATTAAAGGGTCTGGCCAGTGTTTATATACCGCTGGCAGGCCACATTCTAGAGTCTTCGATGAGATAGTGTAGAGACACGTCAGTCGTCAAACAAATTTGACGAGAGAGAACACGACGGGGTGGAGTGCAAAACCAATCGATGCTGCGTGCGAAGCGGCTGCGAGGCGCGTTTCTAGAAGGGAGAGGTGGGGGGGGGAGTACGCAAACAAACTTCGTCACTTTTCGACGAGGCCTCGTGACCAGGAGGGAATGAATTGCGAAATAGTATGCCAATGCTTGAGAATGTTCTAGAAGAGGGCCGTTGTTTGAGAAAGCGGGCAAAAAAAAACGAATGTGAGGGATTCAGTAAAAGCGTGCTGCTACTTTTCTTACCGCTAATCTCAAAAAAAAATATATATATACTATATGCAATAAGAAGAAATATTTTTGAAAAATAAACACTTTAAAACGAATAAAATATAGAATGGGCATGTTAAATAATACGACGCGAACTTGAAAAATTCCAAGACATGAGAATGCTGTTTGAATTGCCACCCATACTTCGTAATAATATTCGAACAAAGGACCCGACGTAAAATCTGAATAGTCGAAGAAAAAATGTAACTTTTAAAAATAACTTTATAAACAACATATCAACATTGCGAAAACTAAAATTACGCTTATCATGGAAGCAAACTAGAGAAGAAAAAAGGGATTTTAAATGACATTGAAAGCCAAACGGTGACGGATGGGAAATTTTTCTACCACTAAATGTGATGAGTATATATATATATACATATATATTGACCTATCGTGAATAACTAATAGGAAAGTGAAATTGTCCGACTGACTTTTTTCATGTAATCTTTTTTTCATTTTGATTGATTCTCTGTCAACTTATGCTTCTTTTTCTATTTGTCTCGCTTTCCGTCGGCAGTTATGTATCAAGCTCTCGAGATATTGTGCTTCATCAACAGAGGTGCATATCGAACTGCCGCGGTGAAATGTGAATGTTTTGTTTCTTTTTGCAATTTTTCAGATATATAATTGTTGCAAAGTTGGATACCCGATTAATACTTCAGTTGATAATTTTTTTTTTCGAATTATAGTGAACCATTTTCACTCTGAATATTTCCAAGTTCTAATCGTTCATTTATTTCATGTTTGCAAATCGAGAATGTAGTTTTCACAACATATTGACTATGGACGGTCGATTGGAAATCATATTTTTTTTTTGCTTTTTTTCGTTCTCGCGCTATTAATTTTCGATTTGTTTTGCGAAGTTTCGAACTTACCGATATTTATTTTCGGAAAATGATAGATGTAGAGATTAAGAAAAAAACGAAAATAGATCAATGCATAAATTAAAAACGGGGTCTTGAACGTAAAATAATTTATTGGTTTTCTTTCTTTTGACAAGAAGGGTTCAACGTATCGGTTAATTAGAATTTTAAGATGGTTAAAATTAGTATTTCTGGGGTAACCAGCATATCAAGGACTAGAAATCAATTAATTGAGAGAATATACAACATTTCAAGAGATGTGAGCAAATAGCATTGGCAAATAAAATGAGCTTGAAAGTAATATTAGGAGATACTGAAAAATTGGGTGATTCGAAAAGTCACTACTTCTCCTTTTCAAAAAGTTCATTATCGTTGACGGAATGTGTTTCACCGTCGTTGTTGTTGCTTACGTAAACTCGCACGTTCAGCTTGAAACCATCATCAAAGTCTATATCACTATAATCATAATCATCTTCAACATCGATTGGTCCGTATTTTCCTTCATCACAATCTTCAAGAGAGAACTCGACCACATCAATCACATTCCTAAATAAGTTCATTGATTTGATCTTTTTGGTGGAGTTATTTACTTTGTCTCCTCAAAATCAACAACTGTGTCCTCATCTTCAGAATATTCTTCGACACTGTAATGATTATTTATAAAGTTGTATCAAAAGAAATACCTACGTAATAGTTACATCAGCATCGTTCACTTCTGGCTTCTGACCGAAAACCTTTTCTATGGTATATTGATAGTCACTCAGAATAAACTGATCAAGCGGATGGGAATTCTGATCAAATGATCGTTCCATCTGAATAATAAAAGAAAATAAACAAGAAAATAAAGGAACATCGCTAGAAAAAAACGCGATCAATCTTCCTTTTCCATGTCGGAGAGTTGATATAATAACTAACAGTATGAGCTAGCCAACTTCGGAGTGAGACAATGATCAAAACATGCAAATACGACAAATTGGCGGGAAGTCAACACACAAATGAGATCAATAATCAAAATCGATTGAATGCTACTAGGTCAAGTGTGGTCATAGGAACTATAAACAATTGCCGACATACGAAAATATGCAAACTAGAAAAAGTAAGATTTACAAAGAACGTAATGAAAAAAAAAAAATAATTGGATCGTGAGCAATTTTTTGTTAGCAGTTCTTTATGTTCTCTACAATATCTGCAATATATTTAAAAAATTCCATAATGATAAAAAATTCCATAACAAAATATTTTTTTCTAAAAAGCGAACATTTTATTTTAGCTGAACTTGTTTAAATATTTAAAAAAATGGCAGCATTTAATTATGTACTCAAGTTACTTCCCTCAATGATTTCATATTTTACGACACTGTCCGCGTTGTACCGCATTAACAATTACGTATTAGAAAAATTTGATGACCTTGATTTCTCTTCATTTACAATTTCTCCCATTTATCCAATAATTTCTATCAATCATAAATCATTTATTGAATCTTTTCGTAATTACAAATAGTGTTCGTCAAAATGAAGAAAGGAAATGACAAAACCGTTCAAAAGCTAGCCAGTATTCAACATCACCTGTAAGTTTTTACTTATGTATTGAAAATATTAAGCATTTTTATTTTGCATTTAGAAGAACTCCTGATCATAATCCTCCATATGATGATGAATTAATTTCTTTCAGACACGAAAATCTTGCTCAAAGGTAAACATGCAAATTGTTTTTGACAACACCACATTTTAGAACTGATCGTACTGATCGTATTCGTCGTCACAGCACGTTCTACAATGAGTTTACTTGTTTTTTTTGGTTATCGAAAATTTTAACTACATAATTGTAGCATCAATGATAATGGAAACCGCCGACGCCGAAACCAAACTCCTATGCACCCACAAGATAGTGGTTTTCGTGTCAGGTGAATTTTTTTAAACAATTTTTTAACAATTCAGTTCGATAATTTAATTTCAGAACTAATAACATGACCGATAGAGAACCGAACGCAATCAATCCAGATGACCCAACAGTTGAGGAAATTCGAAATACAATTTCAAACATACAGCAAAAGATGAACTCTATTGGTCAATTTTTGTTCAGTCTTTTGCCTGATGATCCGCTTGTTGATAGCTTGAATCGGATGTGCCGGGGAAGTTGTCTTTTAAAATTCACGGAGCTTCGTTTTCGCGTAAATCATTTTGAAAATGTCCCCGAAACATTGATTGGCAATCGCAGAACTTTGGAGCAGTATCAATCAACAATTGATCTAATATTTAATTTTCACGAAGATTTAACTGCTCATCTAGTTGACGAAAGTGATTAGCAACTTGTCTTATTCAAAATTGTACAACTATAATTAATTCCTCTTTATAATAAATTTCGCATATAAAGCTATTTGATGAATAGTATTTGCTTGTTTCGACATCTTATTCTATTTTTTCATCGTTACCAATATCAGTGTCAATGCAAAAACGTTCAATTCGTTTCTTCAAAATTTGGAAATTACGATAGTTTATAGTGCGATTTTTTTAAGAAAAGCGGATATGAACATTGCGGGTAAAACTGTAAAATAAAGCGGAAAAAGATATATAATATAACACAAGAAATGTTGGAGAATATCAGCGATGGAATGGCTACGAAACATTAGTGGAGTAGAATTAGAACCGTTTGTACACTTTTGCCTGACTGACCTCATCATCATCCCAATCAGCTTTCCGTTTTTCCGTCGATCGGTAGTTCGAATGCGAATCTGAGTAGCTGGGGTTGCTGCTAAAGTTGAATAAAAATAATTTTTAGAATAATACGTATCAAATATACAAAATGGAATATTCGGAAGAAGTGTAGTCCATTTGGCCACTCAAGGAAACCTTTTGATTGAGTTGAGACTTGTCGGTGGTTGCTTGAGATTTGAACAAAGCATTTAGAGATTCTTTCTTTTTTTGCTCAATCTCAGTCTGTGTCATTGTTCCACAAAATGCAAGAGAAATATCACTGAAAATTATAAATTTGACTACTACTGTGCATACCAAATTGAAATCTCTAACCGTGAGCAAGACTTTCCCTTTGTTATCGAAATTTCATTCGAAATATTCGCCTTGACGGGTGAATATGCCGGATCAATATTCATATTGAATTCGAAGAAGACAATGCAAAATGCAACAAATTCAATACAATATTGTCGTGTCTAACGATGACCGAGCAACGAAACATTGTTTGAGATCAACTAACATCTGCAAAAACAATGAGATCAAAGAACTAATCAAAATACAGATGAAAATATGGACGCCAAAAATGTAAGATAACCAATCAAGGGAAAATTTATAGTATATGGATTACCTTAATTGCTTCAAAATTATCTCGACTTTTTGGATATATATCATTGCAATTCCGGACGGACTGAGCCGAAACGTGACGGCATGATATGCTTACAATTAGCCCAGTTCGATCGGCTCGAATAAATATAACACATGTAGTTGTATTTGGAATATAGGAGAAATAACATGTTCTTTTTTAAGAATTACCGTACTATTATTAGAGCTAAATTCAGTTAACACTCAAATCTATTGAATGAAATCATATAACTGTCTACAATTATAACAAAGATGAAAACAAATTTAAAAGGATTAAATTACTATGTTTATAACTGATGGAAGAATATGAGATCTTAAATCCCGAATATAACAAAAAACAATTTCATTAAAATGTACGATAACAATTTTTTTTAACGATATATTTCTCTTTCGCTGAAAGAGGCAATCAAGATATAGAGTAGATTTTTTGCAATTTTATTGGTACATTCTTTGTAACAGTACACCATATTTTTTGCTTATTTTATTCTAACGAATGCAATTTTACTGGAATATTTAAAAAAAATAATTTTAGTATGAAGTGATGAATTCGATTGGCAAATTCTTGTTCAGTCTTTCGTATGATGATCCGATGACTAAAATCCTTAGCCACATATGTGTAGGAAATTTTAAGTTAAAATTTTCTTGACAAGTTGACATTTCATCCTACTTTCAACACCGATAAAAATAAAAACTATCGAAATGAGCCATAATAGTTAAGCGAAATTAATAATTTACAAACGCGGAATGCGGAGGAAAAATTTTGTAAAATAACGAAATTTCTAGCAACGTGTTTATTAAACTTTAAAAAAGTATTTTTCAAAAATTGGAATTGCACGAGGCAATAGATTCCACTATAATAGAGTTTCCCAAAAAACTTCTATAAATAAAATTAAAGATTGAGCAGCCGAACGTTGACAATACAAATTTGTTTATTGTTTTCATATCGAAATTTAAAAACTGAAAAATTAAAAATATTTATGCAAGAGTTGTGACGAGCAGGGTCATAAAAATCCAATAGAAACAATCCAAATTATCAATTTCTGAAATTTCTAAAAATTCGGACTTCCCACTTACTAGGCTTTAAAAAAAAACTTCAGATTGTCACCTACTTTTGAGGGTTGTGAGATGCTAATAATTGTAATCAACAAAAGCTATCTGAACCACATTGAAATTATTCAAAGTTATAGTGAAGGGTGGTCAAAATTCGAGGTGTTTGAAAAATAGTGAAAATGGGGATTTGATAGCGATGGGCCAAAAACTCGGTTAATAATTTTAATGCTTGTACAAAAATAACAGAAAGCAGTAGTTTTTGGATTTGTCGAATTACAGATTCGCAATGGGAGAGAAAATCAACTGAGCCAATTAATCATCATCGTCATAATATACTACTATTTAATTACCATCTACGTTACAATATATGACTGAGTTATAATATTGTATATTCTCAATTTCATGCTGCAAGTTTTGCAGAATTCAGCAAACAAAAAATTCTCGAGAGAGTCAGCGGACGCTTGGCGTCAATTTACAGTTCTTTCTACAAATGCGCTCTATTGCAAGTTGTGCACGGACCCCAGTAGCACCATAAAAGGCCGACGGATGAGCAATTTCGTCAGTTCTCGCAACTCCTCGAGTTGCGGGAAGCCCGCCTACCTCGGTGCAAACGATTTGCTCCAGTTCGGACGTGGGACTGCTCCCGTTCGAATGTAAAACTGCTCCCGTTCGAATGTAAAACTGCTCTCGCTCGACGTCGGAGGGGGCGCAGTTTCACGTCCGAACGATGACAATTCACGCCCGAATGGGAGCCGTCTCACGCCCGAACCGATGTGAGACTGCTATCAAACTGCGACAAATTGGTTGCGAATTGGGCCCGATTCACGCCAGATTCTCGTTCGAACTGGCGCCAGATTACGCTCAACTGGCTCCAGTCAAATGTATTATTTTTGTGCATTCACTACAAATTGGATGCATTTGATTTATTTAATACAAATATTTAAATAAATAATAGATATCAAACGAAAAAATATTAATTATCGAGAGAAGAGGAAGAAAATGGGAGGGAGAGGGAACACTAAAAGCGGGTTCGAGGAATTACTGTCGCGGAAATCGAAAAATAAACTAAATTCCAAAAATGAGAAATATCTTGGCCCACGGCATGAGACTTAATACTTATATTTTGTCCGTATATCTACACATTTAGTTTTGCACCAAGACATCTCCTTCAATTTTTGGCACTTTGTAATTTTCCGCAATTTTGCGCCATTAAATACAATTAACAAACGTCTTAAACCTTCTTACAACAGGAAGGAGATACAAATTCTTCTTCCCCATGACTCTTGACATTTTATCCATTTGCGAAGTTTCCTAGGTCTTCGCATTATGAGAAGCTGGGTCTTAGGTTGAAGCAGTTAGCAGCTTGTAGTTTCATTCTGTAAAACAAGGGTTAATTGATGATAGCATCCATATTTCATAACACTTACTCAATATTTAATTCTAAAAAAACTAGTCGGTCCTCCAGCATATAGTAAACTCATCCTGTATCGCATCCAGAATCAGAAATCAGCATTGCAGCTTGCCATCTCATTTCTAAATTATTAGTGTTTGAAAGATATTGGAATTGCGAAAAACGACGAGAAATAATGCGCAAATTTAAAATCAATTTCTATTCACTTATCGAACTTTTACCGTTATAACAAAACTTTAAGTTCTCTAAATATAATATCGTTATTACATTGAAAACCATCCACAAATGTGTTTTGGCTTTTAATGGCAAAAATCAATACAAATCTGTCTGAAAACTACTTTTTGCTCAGAAAAGACAATGAAAATGTTCAAAAGTTTCGATTAAAAATTTATCATAACGAAAAGGCACAAAAGTTTAATAAAAAACAGAAACGTTTCACTAAAATACGAGCGAATTGATAGATACACATTTTCTTTAGTTTTAGAATAAAAATTACGAAAAAAGCTCGAGAAATGATCGAAAAAAAGCAATAAAAGTGTTTAAAATAAAAGACGCCATTTCGAAAAACAAAACAACCGCGACGCGGCAATTCCGCGGCGCGCTATTTTGTATTGCTGCGGCAAACCATTGACTGCTTCCGTTCGGGCGCAAATTTGGCTCACCGCTTCAGTTCGGACATGCGTCGACGCCAGATTGGGCAATGTTGTCCAAACTGGAGTCGTTAGTTAACTGTAGTGAATGTCTGGCTCCCGTTCGGATGCTCACGCCCGAACTGGAGTCAACCGCTAAAAACCCCTGCTCCCAATTGGATGCAAATTGGCCGCAGTTCGGAAGTTGAAATAATCCTCTCCAGTTCGGAAGTGCGCCTGCCACCGATTGAACGCTATCGCCCGAACTGTACCAGTGGGAATCTATTGGTCCCAGTTCGGGAGTCTGTCGGCGACCAATCGAGCGCTATCGTCCGAACTGGAGCAAATCGGTTGCACCGAGTACCTTGCTGGCTAAGCGTGCCCCGCATAACCTGCGGGCTCCATGTGCCCCCGCATAGTGTGCGAGCTCCACGTGCCCCGCATAACCTGCGGGCTCCGCGTGCCTCGCATATCCTGGCGGGCTCGTCATGGCCGAGGATCCACACGGTATGTCACATTCTTCGCAGTCCTTCTTCTCAATTCCTCGTATTGCAGATCCGATGAGAGCCACAGTCGTTGCTCATTCGAGCTCTTCTGATGTGCTATGTTGAAAGTGTCGGGGATTCTCGACTGGTGCGACTCGGTCAGCCAGTACTAACCCTACTGCAGTGTTGCGTCCAGGCCGACGTTAAACCCACATTGCATGAGTAGGCGTAACACGTGAAGATGAGCAAGAATAAGGAATGACGAAAGAGGAAACGGATTTGAACGGTAAAGACGGAGTCACAGTCTATCAGAATTACTCGGATCATTGCAGGCATCTTGAATCGAATGGATCCAATCGGAGGTGACGGCTCAAAAAAGTGACGAGGAAGGAGCAAAAGCGTCGGGTATTTGGTAATTTTTGGTCAGGTCCAAGTTATTTTTTAAATTATTTTTTTTATTATTGTTACTATTTTTCACTTGCACCAGTCGTACCACTTACGTCTTCCCTTTCTATATCCCACCACTTGGGATTCCCTCTCTCCTCTCTGTGCAGTCGTACCACTTACGCCTGTACTTCTTCCCGGTCCTACCGTTTGGGACCATTTCTTCTTCTTTTTTTGGGGGGAAAGCCGACTTCCCCTTCCCCCTTTCTGCTACCAGTCGTACCACTTACGACTGTACCTTCTCTCTATCAGTCGACTGATCCCCCTGCCCTACCACTTGCAGCTTCCTCCTCCATATCCCACCACTTGGAATTCTCTCTCTTTCTCTCTCGGTCCTACCAATTGGGGCCAACCATCTTTCTTTGGGGGGTAAGTCGTACCACTCACGGCCATGCCAGTCATTCCACTTAGGGGGCCATATAGGGCCGTAGTCGGCCATATTAGGGCCGTAGTCGGCCATTCCCCCAAACGCCAAGGCTTCCCGTCCCCTTTAGTGCCGAGGCGTTGGCTGGATGGCGGCTTAACCGCTGTATCCTAAATTCGGGTGATTGGCCTTGCAAGCCCTTCAGCCCTGATTCCGTAGCCGGGAATCGAACCCTACCCAAACGTCCGTTTCAAGTACTCTCGAGTGCTTGGAAACTGCTAGTGGGCGTTATGGATGGTAATGCTTTAGAATATTGCTTCACCGGGTGTCCTCCATACTAGTCAGGATGTCATCTGGACCAGACCTATATTGACGTGGATTGGCCAACTATGTCAATATGTCCAGCCTTTCGGGTGCACATGGACCAGTGCTTCTTAGCATAGTAGCTTGCTACTGCTTTGTAATAAGCTGCTATGCTATGAAGACAAAAACCACATTACCATATCACCAGTAGACCCGGGGCCCAGCCAGACGTGGCTTGCCCAACCACTTCTACTTCTATTATCCTCGGATGATAGTTGTGGGATGTCCTTGGGTGATCCCCATGGTGGGATCGGCGATGACCCACATCAGGTTTCGGCCTGGTGAGCCTCTCCTTCAAGTGTCGAGCCTCTACGTGGCGAAGGAGATCAACTAACTCGGTCATCCTTCGGAGGCGTCCAGTCAGGCTAATCGGCACATTGTCTTACACAGGTCGGGGATATTCTTCCTCAACCGGGTGGCTTCTAAATGATTTTGGCAAGACACAAGAAGTATTCAGAGACAACTGAAATGCCGCTTATTCCAACGGCCCTCTTTAAAGAGAGACATTCGAATTGCTAGATTAATATAATAAGGTATATTTTTTGCTGTTAATCATTTTTGAGAGTGGTGATCTGATCATAGTGTCAACATCGAGAGCACTCAAACATATTTTTTTTGTCAAAATTTCCCAATTGCTTGCAATTTTTTGTGTTCGCGACTCGTCGAAAACGCAAATTTTTCACGAAACAGTTAAATCATTTCGAATAAAATGACAAATCCGTCATTTTTTGCCAATAGAATATAATTGATGACCCACCATCCTCATCATAGCCCGATTTGAACTTAAAAAAAACTTGACAGTGGCGCTCTTCTTCATTGCAAATCGAACTGATTTTAAAGTCAATTTGGAATTCATTCCTATTGCTCGCTCATTTACGATAATATTCATTATACCAGAAAAATATTAATTCTAAGTGAATTGAAAAACTTGCCAACGTTTGCGACTTTTTCGCTCACGTCAGCGATCATGAGATTTTGAAACACTCAGGCGTAAATTTAAATGAATTTAAATGCATGTCTGCAAACATTAAGTGATCGTGATTTCACAAATATCAAATTGGCTACGAACTTGCTGCTGCACATTCGGATATTCAGAAAAAAAAATTATTTTCTTGCTAAATTAAACGACGTTTTCAACTATTTTACGCAAAATGTGGCCAACAACGAGCAGGAATCTTTTAACAATTCAATCAGATTTCAATAGACTGCAGGGAATGAACCAACAAGAAATTTATTAAAAACTCAATTCGCTTACTATTTTCCAATTAAGAAATGACATTAACCGAAAATCTTTCAACTACACTTTAACGTGCTACTTCAGGGCATAAACCGGCTTTCACGTAGAAAATGGGCAGCAGTTATTGTTCAAAAATGGATGAGTTCGACCAAAAAAATACGTGTGAGGCTCGAAAATTAGTCATTTTTAAATTGACTTGTTTTATGAAACCCCCTTATTCTTTTTTATTATTTTGATTTTTCGCGTCCTTGAATCTTGTGTTGTTCGTTTTCTCACAATGCGCTAGAAATTTATTTAAATGTTAATACTTTTTTCTACTAGAATTATTGAAGATCTATATTTCGTAATAGAACACGCCGATTCTCTAAAGTATAAGTCTTTTCTCTCTCGTCTAGACGGATTTTCAAGCGGCACTTGGACTATTGAAGTATGCTGATGCCTTGCTTCGTCACCTTAAATGAATGCAAAAATCATCATCAAAAATATGCTAAATTTGTGGAAAATTCAAATATAAAAATGATTTTTTTTTTTTTAATTTTTTTTTTTTGAATAACGGTGTGAATTACTCGAAGTTCTATGCATTATTTCGCATAATTTCATCTTATATCAATCTTGAATATAAAAATAAAAACGGTTTGCTCGATATTTATTCCAATTACCAGTTTTTATTTCTAATTTTCCGAATCCTTACTTTTAATTGTAATATTACAAAGAAGGAATTTAAAATTATCAAACCTACCAACATCGTCCACCTACGAATGGACGTGCAAGGTGAGTTTTAATTACCGACGTTTTATTATTTGTCGAGAAACCCATTTTCAGACTTTCTCCGGCATCTCCAATGTTTTTTTTCAACGGTATAACTATATGCGAGTGGTTGTGAATATCGATCACCCGGTGGTCACCAGGCTCATTACATGCAGCCGTGAGTTGTTGTTATCATTGAAATAGTTGTTGACAAATTGACAAGTATCTGCGCGGCTGTAACGTGAAAACGAACAAAATTAATTTTACAAGCTAGTATTTAAAATATGCCTATACGTATTACTAAAATAACTTTTTGTAACAAATCCAATTTTGACACATTATCTTAATACGAGTGCGTTAATTTTTCTTTTAGAAACGAGCAAATATTTTTCAGTCCACGGTAAATTTCTTCATTAGCATATTTCATATATTTCATATATTTTTATGTTTATTGACTGATTTTAATAGAACAATGTAAAATATTAAATAAATATTTATTTTTTAAACTGTACAAGAACACGTCATTGAGATCAATAAACGATGGAAAGCTCTGAACAAAATTCACAGGAAACATCAATATTCACATAATGTATCGGAATTTGCCGTTCGTTTTCGTAATCGAGACGATACTTCAATTGTTCCCTCCCTTACCTGTAACTCAAATTTGAAATGTTCGTTTTTTTCTAAAGAATGCCTACTTTTCTAATGCAAAAAGTTGATTTGATGCTCTGACGAAAACGAGTTGATAAAAATGCATATAAAAAAGGATCTATGGCAGCATTGAAGAATAGGCACAGAAAACTGATCGGCTGTAGAACGCTTTGCAAACAATTAAGACATCGCGGAGCTGAAACAACAACATCAAAATTTTGCAATTAAGTATGGAATTACCCATTGGATCTCTCCAAACTGTCCACATAAAATAAACATATCGTGGAAGAGAGAAGAATGCAAAAGCAACAACAATTCCAACTGCTAAACGGCCAACCTTAACATTAAAGTAATTTAAAATTTTATATAATTTCTGTCGTACTTTTCTCCTTTTTTCCACTGAAACTCCTCCAGTTGAAACATCAGAACGCCAGCCTAGAAAATTAAATAAAAAAAATGAACGGGTGTTGAATTTTCATCATACTTGATCGCGGAAGAAGCTTGTTGGCGGAATTCTTTGTGATCGATGCCGCTCTGCTCACGGCTATTCCAATTGTTGCATATATTGAAAGCAAAATAATGAGTGGAATTGCGTACCTATTGTTGATATGTTCATAGTTCTACAAATGAGCTTACCAAACTACGAAGTTAATAGTTGCCACGAGTTTCAGCAAATTGAAGCCGCCAATCTCAACATGTCTACGGGTGCAAATCTGATACAGAAAAATGCTTAGCTATTGAATAATTTGAAACTTACTGAAAGTGTTTCATTTCCATCTGTAAACTCCATAAATTGACTAGCGTAGACGTATGGTGTATTCATGACAGCGCTGGCTAGAATATTCCGCTGCGTTAACGTTTTTTTTAAAGCTTACTTATCCATACAAACGCTGAAGAGCTTATAAGAACTCTTTGTGAAAACGCTCTGCGCACTCGTAATGGGCGAACTACAGCAATTAGGCGCTCAAACGAAACCAAAACCTAAAAATAATTTACAATGTTTGATGTTTTGCTCGAGTTGCAATATATTCATATCTTAGTTGCTAGATTTTGAGCATCAATAGGTTTTGCAAGAAGACAAATGATAAGATTTTTTGCTCAATTAAGACTTTTCAAGATTCTTTTCCTTTATTTTTATCCAATTTTGATTTCGTTTATCCGATATAATAATATTGAACAGTCTTGGATAAATAATTTTTTGGATTCCGTTAAAGCAATAGAGCTTTTATTATACGACATTGAAACAGACATTCAGAAAACTAACCAGAATTCCGGCAGACACGTTTGGAATGAAATGAAGAACGTAAATATATGAATAGCATAGTACTTTCCCAAAAGGCCATCTGCCATGACCTTGAAGAACAAAATGCGCGGCATTTTGTAAAACGCAAAATATTCCCACGAACAGATCAGCTACCTGTAAACACTCCATATATCCACGATTTCGTCAATATTTGCATTCAAACCGTTAGATTAGCAAGAAAAAAATTAGGCACACTGCGAACCTTTTTCTGTGAGAAAAATACTGCCAGGATGATCAAATTTCCTGCAAAAAGCAAATAAAGTTCGCAACACCATTTGACAACTCGATTCTCGCAATATATTTCTGACACGGATTTTAGTGAAAATAGATTAAAACCGCGGTGCGCAGCACTAGCAGCTGGCGGCGGCGGCGGCGGCGACCGCGTCTTTCATTGTTTGCGAAAATGTTCAATTAATTCCGAAAGCGTGATGATAATAAGAAAACCAAATTTACCCGCTATTGGCTTTTGGGAATAAACAAACCGTTTCACCCCGTAATTAAGATATCAAAATCATCCGCAAACATATTTGCTCAACTATTTCAATTTTCGTGTTTTTTTTTGTTTGATGATCAAAACGTTTAAAGTTCACTGATTATAAAATTGAAAGCTGGTACTAAATGGTTCTAAGAAAACTACTTACCTATTATAGTGGCAAGAAACACGAATAAATAAGCAACACATAGTAGGAAGTGTATAACAGGATGATTTAGTGGGGAATCACCTTCCATCTGAAAAATTGTTTTATAAATGTATGCGCAATAATGCACCAATTCGAAAATAAATCGAAATATTTTCCACAAATGCTCAGAATTAGACATTTAATTGCATACTATAATTATATAGCTTTAAACTTCTATAATGAAGGGGTTGCTGTGCAGTACTCGCTGTAATAGTGAAATACACAAGAGAATGAAAGCGTGTAAAGAAATAAATATAAAAATTGACAAAAACTTAATCAAAATTGCGAAATTTTGACAAAAGGATCATAGAATGTTTTCGGCACGGTTATTTAAATTTCAGTTGGAATTAGTGATCCTTTGAGCAAACAACCTTCCAATCAAACTTCCGGATTTAGATAAATTATAGCAACGGCGTTGTATCTTTTATCATTGAAATTTTTTCAATTTCAAAATGATTAGAAATACAAGGAATTGACAAACTCAACCAAAAAAGATCACAAAATTGGCATTCACGTGTGGCATGACTGCAGCCTTAGGGCTTGCGCCTCCAGACATCGAATGTATATCGGAAATGTGTTTCATCATCAACTTGGCAAATAAGTGGTAATAGTATGCCGTCTTTACCTTTCAGATGGCAATAATTTGAGAACAGCGGAAACTTTGAATTTTTGAATTGATTTGGTTTAAATTTCAAATAGAAATATATGCTTCAAAAGACTGCTCCAAAACTCAATTTCACAGAATTAGGATCAGGGCAAATCTACGAATTTGTAAATTTATGTAAAATATTATTTTGTTGAAATGAGGGTACGCAGAGCACGTCTCACATCTCTCAGCTTCGAGACACTTGGCACATAACCAATACAAATAAAATTTCGTTACTAAATGAATGAAGACCACATTGAGAAAAGAAATTTTAAAAGTTAAGCTGCAGATGAAAATATAGAAAAAATGAAATGATGTAAAAATGAAATCAGAAAAAATTCAAATTGATTTCATGAAACATAAATTCTATTATAAATGACGGTTTGAATGAGTAGTTCATTTTACTTACGGCCTACTGCGAACGTTTTATCTTTTAACCACATTCCCTATTTTCGAGATTAACAAACAAAGCTAATTGTCGAACAATGAATAGAAAAATAACGATATTGTTTCCAAAGAATCAAGGCATTGAATTTTCGGTGTTTTGTCTGGAAAAAACGATGCAATATTAATGAATTATTTGGTAGAGCGGAACATTATTAGATCGAACATTAATAGAAAAAGATAATGCCAGGAAAAATTGAAGACAAAATGATTATTTTTTTAAACAAGCAATGTTAAGAGGATCGCGTCGGCTGATCAAAAATCATGAGACAATAAAACGTCTTCAGAAGCAGTACCATTATTTATAAGGGTATATTCCAATATTGAAGAAGAAATACGACCCATTGCGAAAGAACGACGATCTCGACGTTGTCATCGTCTTTCGCACATTTAATCTTTATTTGAACCACCAACTCTCGCCGCTGCCTCCTCCCATTTTGAGGACGATAGACTAAACTTTGAGAAAACGAGGCGACGGAGCGGCTCTTAAATTTGAAGCGTGAATAGCATCAAAGGGCACGAGCAAGGCAAGGAAAAAATGGCTGAATTGGCGGGTTTTTGCAATTATTTGATGTGTTTCTTTTGTGTAGTCTTGTTCAAATTAACATTGACCAAAAGTTTGTTCTCTCCCCTTTTCAATAGGTAAACATGTTTGAAAACTGTTTTTTCATTGACCTTTTCTCACAAATTTAGGCATATGTGTGAAAATGAACTTTTAAAAACTGAATTTGAAAAACAACGAAATTCGTTCAAAAATAGTCAGACGAAATATGACTTCAAACGCTAAAAGCAATAAAAACCCGAATTTCACCCACGGTTTAATGTTTCATGTTGGTTGGTGACTAATGAGATATTCTGACGATTTCAAGGAGCAATTCCATTAGAATGGTTGAGAAAACACCCTAACAGCTTTTATAAAAAAAACATTACAGTTTATCTGGTCAATATGAACTTTAAAAATTCAAGCGATTATATGTTTTTTTTTAAGAGAAGTCATCAATTATAAATAGATTTGCTGATCTACGTTATTTTTTTAAACTTATTTGCAGTTTTTTTTTTAAATGAGAGTAATAAAAAGAAACAACACATAAACACACTTCTTCTATTCGAAGATTAATGTAACAATGATGCTATAAAGAGAAACGGTTCATCGGTTTTACAATTGTTTTCAATCGGTTTTCCTGCCATGAGAATAATTTATTATTGATGACGTTAATTTTTTCAAATAAAAATTGATCGAATGTTTTCTACTTCGAATAAAACGGAAATTGGTATGGAAAGCTGATGAAAGCCGACGAAATAAATTTTTTGTTAAAAAAAAACCTGAATTAATATTTAATTATACAAAGTCTGAAAATCTAAGGTGACAATGTGCTTTTGAATTTCTAACTTTTGATCGTGTTTACATAGATATCACCATGGTACATAGCAGGTGTAAAACATTGGGCAAAAATGCAATATCAAAATTAAGAATAAAAAGAAATACGCAACTCTGTTATGACGAATAGGAAAAACATTTTAAGATTTCAAATACTCCGAATTGCCATTTCGTGAAATTTTAAAGGAGTTCAAGATTAGAAGGTAAAACGCATTCAAAGAGCATGAATATTTGACTGAATACCTAAATAAATTAAGTTCGAAATCATCACGAAAAAAAATTTCTAGATGACTGCATTTTTGGGAATATCAGCTTACAACTCTTTCAATATGAGGGGACAACGCAGCTAATAATAAATAAAACGTGCATTTCCTCACGTGAAAATTTTGTTCCAAGGAAATATTAGATAAATTAGGTTCTAAAAGGACACCAAGTGTCTCTACAAGAGAATGCATTAAACGATCATGTTTTTGTGTAGGAGAAAACACGAGATTTCCCATTTAAAAGTTTTTTTCGCACCTACATACATACATATATTTTCTTTCAAGAAACACTTGAGTCTTTTCAATCGGTTCGCGCTAAACGTCAGCATTTTGCAACATCAAAATTGGTGCCCTAAAAGGGTCACGAGATTAGCGTTACTATTCTATGATGTTCAAAGTAAACAGAGGGTTCGTTTAACAATGGAAAACATTGTTCGGAGTAATGGGAAAGACCCTAGAATCAAAAATAAAAATGATTCTCGTTTCCCGAATTGCGAGCCAACAAGCCGAATTTTGTCTAAACATAGCAGATGAAACGCACGCGTCTAATTACTTTTTTAGAAGAAATATTCATTGTTCTTTGAGCATCTCATGGCACAAATAAAACTAACTATTTCCTAAAAATAATAAGCTTCCGGCGACCAAAACACAAAGTTTAGGGGATGAATTGAATCTAACGTATAAAAGAGTCGTTCAAAACGTTCGGGCAAAACGATCTATTCGAATACAATGCGAATTTCAAAATTGACGAAAAAAAAACCATTGTGTTTGCAGACATCTTGTAGATCTTGTGTTTACTTGAAGAATTGTTCAATATGTTTGAGGACATTTGTTTAATCATGAACTTTTACACCAGCGTGAAATGCCAATTTTCAAAACATGTTGTTTAAAATAAAATACACAAAGAACTCAAGGAGATATGAAAATGATCTGCGTTTTGCATTTGCTGAGCTTGTTCCGTTTGAATTTCATGGAAAATAATTTATTTCCAAGAACCTAGCACCAAATTTGAGGGAATGAGTAATTAACCGGATTTCGGAATTATACTCTACAATTTTCTCTCAATGCCACATTTTCTTTATAAAAACGGTTTTTGGCATATGCTAATGTTCATTAAAAAGGATGTGACAATGGAAAACAGAAATATAGTTTTGTAATTTTTGTTATTTATAGGACGAAACGCAATTAGTTAAACCACACCCATTCTCATTATTGGTCAAAAACAAACTGGAAAAATATGTTTGATTACTTATAGAAAAGAGAGGGATATTGATTTAAACAATTCAATAGTAAGAGAATATTCACATTGCAGTATTACATATTGCAGTTCATAGTTTATAAAGGGTCATTAAACGGTTTAAATGAGTTCGCATTTAAAATGTTGCCTACTTCCTCATTCTGAATAAATTGCATTCTCGTCAGTATAATATTAAAATTATTTGGGTCGACCCCGAAACCCAAAAAGCGCAATTGTTTTGAAACAACGAAAAAATGTCTGTTAGATGTATGGTTTCGATAGTTAAGAAGATAGAGACAAATATTAAGAAAAAATTGACACATTAAAATGATAGAAACAAACATAGCCCGAAAAAATTACATTTTACATTTCATTTCGATTTGATATATTATTATATTGAATGGAAATCACAGTGCATATTGAATCTTTCTTCATATATTTGAATATTTTGTGTATAATAATTTCCAATTCGTGTTGGATGATTGTGTTCTGTGCGATACAAGTTATACAAAGTCGCAAAAATAACCATATAATCGCGTTGACATTTAATAAATAAGAAATGCTTCTACTTTAGTCTCCCTCGACAACTCAGGTAAATCGAATAAAATATTTTGAGATTCATTGAGAAACTAACGTGTCTCTATAATATTTTAGAATTTTCTCAATGAACTTTAGAAATAATTATCAGATTTTAGAATTTATTGAGATAATTTAGAATTTTCTCAATAAATTTTAGAAAATCTAATAAGATTTTTAAAAATATTTTAAAGTTTATCGAGTCTCAATAAGTTTTCGAAAGTATCAATAAACTTTAGAATTTCTCAAAATATTTTAGAGTTTATTATTGAATATTTGATTCTCAAAATATTTTATTTGATTTGCCTGAGAATATAATACAAAAATTATTAAAATTTGGTTTTCACTAACCTTTTTATTTAATTTTTATAATTGAGCCTGTTCATTTTTTAATGAAATGATGAGAAATTTGGGGGTCTTTATAATCGCATAATAAAACTTTTATCTAATTTAATATTAAACCAAATAACTGATGATAAGAAATCACATAATAATGTTGAATTCAAAAAACGATTTTCTACTTACTTATATATCTTTCTTTTTTATTTTCATTTTATTTATATTAAATAAAACCCATTGTATTTCTTCCTAATTTCATAACCGAGACGTGAAAAATTTTATGCGTTAAATATATATATATATATATATATACATATATATAATAGTTATCTGTGATATTTTTGTCACATAGTCAAAGTTTTTCCTCTCTATTTGAGATTGCTGTTTGCATGCATGATTTTGAGGTTTATTGATGAATCACCTTCAAATTTATTTCTTCAGAGATTGCTTGAACGAATTTGACAATTGGATGCTTCTCGAATTGGATTTCTTATGTTTCATCCTCTTGATATTTTAATTGTCATTTCGAACAATTCATATTCAGCTTTCACTTGTTGTTCGCGAATTCGGCGTTCTAACCACTTTAACGCATTTCGAAATTTTTCATAGTTTCTAGTACAAAAAATTTAATGATTGTGTTTTTGAAAATGTTCAAAACGTTTTATTTTATTTGCACATTTGTACTATTAAAAATAAACCGTAAATATTTTCTGAAACGACATGCAACATCAGAATTCATACAATTGCGTGCCGACGTGGTGTACACTGTTTGCCATAAAAACGTCGACGCAGCAATCGTTGAGTACAAATGATAATAGAACGCGGAACAAATGTTGAAATTTTTCTCATTATATGGCAAATTCTTTTTAATTTTTTCTGCTTTTGCAACTTGATATGTTTAGAAATAAGCATTCCTGCAAGAGAATTGTGTGATTTTTTATACAATTTCATTATAAAAAAGTAGCGTTTCTGTGTCTTCTTTGTTAAATGACTAGTTAAAAAATGATAACTGCGAACTTTTGCATTTAGGATCTCAAGTCATACCACGCGAATAAGATGATTATTAATGTACATTGTTTGGTTGGCTGTTTCTTTTCTTTTTACATCATATATATCTTCTCCAATTTCAATTTCGCTATACTTAGTGTATTCTTCACATCATTTCATGCAATCGTCTGCCAATCGTCAATGATTCAAGATCGATTCGTTCTTAGTGTGATTTTCACAAATCCGATCACTTTGCCATTAAATTAGATCAAAACGCACCAATGTTGTCAACACATTTTATGGTAGTATAATAATTTATTTTTTTTTTAATTTCTAGCCAATTTTCTTTTTAACTGTCACTCAACTTGTTAGTTGTAGTTGTGGCATCTTTAAGGCGTTTTTCATTTTCTCTACCTGCTTCAAAGAACAGGATTGTAGTCGATCGCTTCTCTAAATACAATACAACATAGAACCTCACGCATAGCAGACTCAAATACACACGCTGCGAACAGGGAGGAGGAAGGGAGAGTCAGTCATACATTGAACACCAGCAAGTTGCCTTCCATCGTCTTTTTGCCAGTAATTTCATTGCGCGTGTGCGAATTTGCTAATGTCGGCAGCCTCATATATCGCATACTCTTTTTTGTTTGTTTCGCTTTTCAGTGTAGTATCGCGTCCGCTCTCTTTACTCCTGCAATCTCTCGAACGAATGCACACGATCCATGCAGTTTTTGCACGTGTTTTACTTAATTTCTCATTCAATTCATTTTACTGTTTGCGTAAGCGCCCCATTGGCATTTTTATTTAATTGTGTTCTCATTCGGACATCAATAACATTAATCATGAGCCAAATCAAATAATTTATGAGATTTCGGTAATATTAAAAGTGGCTCATTTTTTTGAAAATATTTTATTTTTAATAGGACACGTTTAACACTGTTTAGACGCATTTAGCGTATAAGCACATTCATGTATTCCTTTTTCAAATAGTTTTAGTAATTTGCTCGCACTTTAAACATTTATATTAACACGTTGTTAAAAACCAATAGTTTTTTTTTAAATTAATTACGTTATTCATAAATGCGTAAAATCTTCTAAAACGTTATCGCAATTTTTGCCAATTTTTAGTTGTTTGCTGATTTTTTAAAATACATTTTAAAAAATTGATGTGTCTCAAATTTTGCTTTAAAGTTATAATTACAATCAATTTCTGTTATCGGCGCTTGTATAATCAATAATGCTATCAGTGAATTGAACTCTTTTTCATGTGTCATTCTTTTATTACAATGCTATCACATTCCATTCATGACGCTTTGAGAATTAATCACTTGCTTTCAGCAATGGCGGCCGCAACGCCTGGTGCATTAGTAGATGAATATGTTATTGAAATATTCAAAAAAGCTCAGCTCACGGATTTTCTCAACAAATTTGTGTTCATTTTGAACGTGAGACGCTTCGAACACTTGTCACGAATTCGCGATAAAGATATGATGGTTTGCGATTGATGTTATTTTTCATTTTATTGATGGATTTAAGGAGATCGGGATGAATCCACAGCAGATAAGCGTTTTGCGTGAGCACAAAATTAAATTAGAACGAGAGCTATATAATCGAAGTGAACCGAAACCAGTAGAACAAACAATCTTATTTATATATTACGCACTAATTTAGGTATATATTAAAAACACGGAATCTACTGCATCGACATCAGAAATTGATGGACGAACACTTATTCCTGCAGAACAAATCAATTTGTATGAAAAAATTGGTGAAGGTACTTTTGCCGTTGTGAAACGCGGTATATGGACACAAAACGACGGGCGAACAGTTGACGTCGCCGTTAAAATTTTACGCGACGTTTCACCAATGATGCTTGAAGATTTACGGGTTAGATTTTCCGTCCCCGGCGGTATAAATTTAACAGGTTTCATTTAGGTTGAAGCTAGCCATGCTTTGAAACTCCAGCATCCTTCCCTTATTAGGTTGTACGGAATTGTTCGCAATCCAGCAATGATGGTATTTGAACTTTGTAAAGGAGGATCATTGTTGGATCGACTTCGAGATGATAAAAAAAAAGTTCTGCTTGTGTCAACCCTGTTGGACTATGCAGTTCAAATAGCAAAAGCTTTGCAATTTCTCGAATCAAAACATTGTGTGCATCGCGATGTTGCAGCTAGGAATGTTCTGATATCGCATGACGAAAAGGTATTTTTTTTTTTAAATAAAGTCTCGTCTGACAATTCATCTGAGTTTTTCCAGACGGTCAAGCTTGGGGATTTCGGATTAATGCGTGCTCTCAAAGATAATGAGCAAATGTACACAATGGCTCCACAAAAGAAAGTACCATTCGCGTGGTGCCCTCCTGAGTCACTGAAGCATCGCAAATTTTCTCATGCTTCCGATGTGTGGTCATATGGTGTTGCATTGTGGGAAATATTCACGTACGGTGAAGAGCCGTGGGCTGGATGTAGAGCGGTTGATGTAAAGTTTGAAATTTGAAACGTCGCCAATCATGTTATTGCAGGTGTTAAAAAACATTCAAGAAGGAGAACGCCTTGAGAAACCAAAGTATTGTTCGGAGAAAATCTACAAAATTATGCTCAATTGTTGGAAAGATGCTCCAAACGATCGTTGCAAGTTTAGCACAATACGCGAAGATCTGAAAGAGGTTTGCGTTTTTCCCGCACCATTCTTTCATTTTTCATTCATTCATGCAGGCGCATTTTTTGAATGCAGTTGTCCGTGAGCCGCACCGTTCGACTCAAACCGGATACCTCAATCTCAACAGAAACGACGAAGTGATTGTCATTGAAAACAGGTGCGTCACAATTTTTATTGCTTGATTCCTCTCGAAACATGAAAATATTCAGAGATTTTGACTGGTTTGGTCAGAACAAGTCGAATCAGTTATTTGGTTTATTCCCACGAAATTGCGTATTTGTTCAATCAAACAACGCGGCTCTACCAACTGTAGTCACACCACAAGTATAGCGAAACCAAAAGTTCACTAGGAACATTGACCATTGATTCCAGAAACCAATGCCGATTCCATCCATCACAACAACCGCTCCAAAAATTTTGCATAGCGGCACAAATGTCGGAAATTCGCGAATTTCAATGCCGATTCAAGGTACGTAGTTTGGAGTTTGGATTAATATAACCAGTTTTTCAATTATTTGTGAATTTCTATTTGTCACACCGCATGTATATGTCAAAACCGTGTATTTAGGATCATTCATTCACACCGGCCACGGCGATCCTCTTGGTGGTCCATCTTGGGGTTCTCCTTCCGAAATTGATGATGTGTATTTAAAAAACCCTGTGAAAGGCGCTCCTCTTTCAAGGTCCCTTTTGTCATTTTTCTATGTCCGTATGTATACCGTTTCAGCAAACCAAGTGGCGCAGAATTGATAAATAGTAAAAGTCAGATAGTAAACGGAAGATCAACATCACTAGGTACGATCAAGTATTGACATTAATTTTTTTATTGTATATCGTTTTTTGTGTCGTTTTATTTGCTTAAATGTCTCTCTGTTTTCAGTGGCACCTTCAATTACGTCCTCACTTACCCTTGATTTAAACGACGATTTTGAAATGGCCTTGAATGATAGCTTCTCTCCATCTGCTATTGAATACCCTCGTGAATGTGGTGAGCCTTGTGTAATCTTTAACCTTTGTATATTTGAGTATTCTTCATCAAATTTTATAAACGGAAGCGAAAATTTCAGAGCGGTCGAATACATCGGCACAAAGGGTTGATGGAGTCGAACGTTTGAATGTTTTAATACCGCAGCCGCTTCCACGCCCTGTTCCTAAACAACCAATTGAGCCAAAATCAATTATTGCCCCAACCAACAACGGAATAAGTAAATATCAATTCGTTAGCAATGTACACATATACATTTAATTTTCAGTGAATGTTCCACTTCCCGATCACTTTAGCAGCAGGTCCCAACCAAAAAGCTCTTCTATTTCAAACGGCTTTGAAGTATTCTCACTATAATAACAGATATTTGTACTCATTAATTTTAGAACCGTCACGTATCATCTGTCGGGTCTAATCTCGATTCGCATAGCACAATTCAATTTCCACGCTCTATCTCATCAACGGGACATACTCAACCAATTAAACATAGTTCGATTGGTAATCTCCCTCAAGATGTTCTTTCTGAATTGAACATAAAACTCGATTCTAGTAAGTTTTTAATTACTGACGCATTTCTGGAACACTTGAATATAGATACTCGATCGTCCCAATTTGGAAGCACAAATGCATCAACTAATGCGTCATGTGATAAGCAATTTCATCAAATATCTAATCCTAAGCTTGAAGCAAAGGGTATTTAATCATTCAAATTTTGTTTTCCTCAAGATACTAGTGTTTCAGACTTTTCACGAATTCGACCGGTGTCCACTATAGGGCAACCGACAGATTTTTCATTATTGTCGCGTTCAAATATATTTGATTCCACGCGACCTGTGTCGGTGGCTGGTTTTCCAATTCAACCAATACATCAACAAACTACTGTCAATATTCCTTGCCTTACTCCAACTCCTGTCACCTACCCTTCTCAAGGAGTAGTGAATTCCATTCAACACGCACATACTGAAGAATTGAAAACAAACGAAAAGATGGGAATATTACCAAATCCCATTCACATGCAACCGGTTACCAACAATGTTTTATCGTCTTCAACCCACTCACCTTCCATGGGGGTATCACAAGCTCCATTGCCTGCGAAACATCGGGAAGTGACGAAAAATATTGAGCCGGCTCCACAACTTTCTGAACAGTCGAACAATGCTCCGAAACCTGTTCCGGAACATTTTCGAAATTCGAAAACCAACCCAACAAAGGAAAATGAAAACAACAATACCATTACGAGAAAAGACGAGCATGTAAAGAATTCAACAATTCGGCAGAGATCGAATTCGGCTTCAAAGTATAGTGACGATGAAAGGAGACAAAGGATCAGTAATGAAATCACATCGTTTCTTCCCAAGCCAAGTGCACTTCTTTATGGGCAACAACCACCTTCAACGTCTGCAATTGCAACATCTTCTACTGGATTTTTGACTTCGTCATCAGTAAAAATTATACTTATAAACAAATAGAACAAATGATATTAATTTTAGAACGTTGTGGCAACTCAGCCTGCACAACCCTCAAAGAAAGTTGAACCACCTCTTTCATTGTCCGTTTTGCAACCTATTCGATTGCCTACTGCAGATATTGTTGTTAAAAACACTACTGCTACTCCTCCTCACTCTTCTTCTCCTCCAAACAGTGTCCAAAAGAATATCAAGGTATAGTATTATTAAATTTAAATGTCTAGAAATATAATTATTTCAGCAAATAGATATGCCGGTTCAAACTCAAGTACCGTTGTTCAACATAACCAATTCTCATGTATATCCATCTTTACAAACCTTTTCTTATCAAAATTATAATAACGCATACCCAAGTAAGTATTGTGAGAAAATGTGACACATTAAATTATACTCTTCAGTCTCCTATTCTGCCTATAACCCATATGCTATGCAACCCATGTCGGGAACATACGGTTTTCGACCTGAAATTATGCTACCACCACTGCAAGCATCACAGAATCCACCTCAAATTCCAACTGCAAAACTCGACGAGTCTGACATCCAAGAACTTCTTGGTGTTCCTTCGCGATCATCTCCGCCAACAACATCGTCGAGCGGCGTCACCATGTCAGAAAAAATGGAAATATTGTATTCGGAAGCCCAATTCACTAAGTAGATCATTTTTTAATTATTCTCAACTAAAAAACAAAATTCAGGAGGGAAAATTGTGACGAAATGGTAAGCATCTGTAGAGGAGATACTGATTTGGCGCTGAAACGTTTGAAAGAAAACCACTTGGTCAAACTGCACTACGCAGGAAATACGGATATCGCACGATCTGCACTCGAGAAATGTCATTACGATTTAGATAGAGCTGCAAATATTTTGCTAGGATAATTGAAACATTTCTGATGTTTATTTATTGAGTTCACTCTTACTTGCTTCTAATTATACACATACAGTATCGCATTTAACAATATTTCACTTATTTTGCACTGTGATAACACTAAGCTTTAATAGTCCCGTTAACAATAGTGAAATTTAACTAAGAGCCATCTGATCTTGCGTTTATATTTTAAATTCTTTTGTATATAAATATCGAGATATATGATCAATTATTTAAGTCGATTTCAGTTTTTTCTCATCGTTTGTACTGACATAGTCAGTGACATAGTCAGTGGTCGATTTTCACACTTCGGCAATTTATGCATTCCGGTTATGAAAATGCAAACACCAGTATCGTTCGAAGTCATAAATGTTTTATTGACCCACTTGTTTATTCGCAATTGAATTGATAACTAGTTCGGTGAACATGAATATTCAAAAAGATTATTTAAAATTAATTCATAATTCTTAAGAAATATAATCATGTTTAGTTGAAATGTTTTATCATCCAATATTGTAGTTAGCATATTAAAACAATTTAGATGAAATATTTTATGTACAGAAATTAATATATAAAATAAGTGAATACACAAAAATGCTCCCAAATAATAGAATATAACGCGTGTCAAATAATGTGACCATGAAAACAAGAAAATTTTTGATTTGTCTGTTTTGCTCGGAGGTACCACGTTACTTTTGAATAGTAATTTGTCGCGTGGCGTGGTTCGTTGGATACGCAGGCGGCTTTTCCATTGGAATCATCTTCGGCGCCATTTGGACAAAGTTTGATTTTTTTTTCTGAAAATACAAATAAATAATTGAACAGGGGAGAAACAAAATTCAAAGTCCCACCTCATACTCAATGCTATTGTTGACGTTGACATTATTGTTTCTTTCCTTCGGGCTTTTCTGAACATTGTTATGATTATCCTCATTGAGTACGTCCTCTGCATTTTCTTCGTGTAAGGTCATTGGTCTGAAAGTTCCCAAATTATCGTCATAATTTCAGCATTTGCAACCTGCTGAAAAGCTCTGAGCTCAATTGTGGTCTTTTTGGACCTTGTGGTTTAATTTGAAGTCCATATTTCGCGCCATTTTCGCGGATAGTCTGTAATACAAAAATAGTTTAACTGGTTTCTTAAATGTATAGGTACCCTGTAGAATCCTTGGCGCCCTCTTGTGGCAATGAATTGCATTCCAGTGCATTTTGGCCGCGGGATTTCCAATCTTCCAAGTTCGCAAAGATTGTCCCGAATTGCAGCCATGTTAGTACTGTTCAACATAATGAATAAATAATAGTAAAATATTTAAACACGAGGAATAAAATGCGTCAATGTGGTAGTTGAATATGATAACGCTTTCTATTAAAAAATCCTTCAAACTTTTGATGATAACACAGTTTGCAAAAGATAAGCGTGATTAGGAAAACAGCTTGGAAATGACTATTAGCGTCATCTATCACATGTGGCAAACACAAAGTTCGCAAAAAAGACGGAAAACGGGAAGAAACGCAATTGATGATATTTTAAAGGAATAAGGTGTGGTGGTGTGGCAAGTTGACAGGCAAGACCCATCTAAGGAAGTTGAGCAAACACAACCTATCCGAGTATTTGAACTAGCATAGGCATTTATTGGAAAAATTTTTGGCGCCTAATGTTAAAAGCTCATAATGCACCTCAATAACGAATGAAGTCTAATGGAAACAAGATGGAGCTGCCGTCAAATCATTTTGACAGTTCTTGTTTCTTTCCCAATTTTGGTGTTTACGTTTGCTTATTTGTCAACAGTCGCTTTTTTATGGTTTTCAGTGAGACAACTCATAATAAAATTTCATGTCGAATAAAAATTTGCAGTTTTGAGCAAATACTCAAAAAAAAAGTGTTGATATAAAAACTAAAAAAAATCATTACATGTCGTCATTTTTGAAAAAAAATGTCAATTCAGGGCCCTTATGTACGTTTCAGCAAGGAGTGTTTAAGATACGGTATTCAATCTTAATCCGTCATGGAAAGGGTAGGGAAATGCAAAGAAATCGACAGAAACATATAGCGGGAGGGTCGAAAGTTTTTCAATGAAACTCTCGTCGACAAAACGCACAGTTGTCAATTAGCATAGACCTTCCCGCACAGTTTGACGTCTAAGATATATTAGGGACACTCGCATTTTCATTGAAAAACCGCTAATACCCTTCAAAACGCATCAAACTGAAACATCCAAAGATTTTTTTGTTTCTAACCCGAAAAAGCAGAAGCGAATGAATGACCAATAATGATTGGGAAGGGGGGGGGGAAGGCTTGTAAAACAACTAATTGGAGTGACAAAGACGGTTTTGAGAAGATTAACCGCTAAAGTACATTTCAATTGGTTTTCTAAATTGCCTAGCGTTTGACTTCGCATTGTGAAACTAATAGTTGAAGAATCGTCTGAAGTCCAATATATTGTTTGAGGAGAGAATACAAATTAATGTAGATTTCAGATGTACACATAGAGGATAGAGACACGCGTTGCCACTGTTATTGTTGTCAGTGAGTGGATCTGGATGGGCAAAAAATGAAGACGATCATCGGAAGTGTTTGCATAGAAACTAACTTTCCTTGAGCGATTTTACGCGTGTTTTCTCATATCGTTATGTGTGTATCCATCTTTTGAGAAAGAACTCGATTTGCATGGTCACTGGAATGTGTCAATATTGAAACAGTAATACTAGTAGTTAGGAAAAAATAAAAGATGAATGTTTGATTAGTCGTAGCGTTCACAGTTGTTGTTGATTATTGCAGGTTAGCTTTGTTCCAAATTTCCTTTTTTCATATTGAGTTAATATTTAATAGTAAAAAAATGTTACGAGCCTGGCATACAATTCTCAAATTTGACAAAAGGATCCTTTTGATGATTGGAAAAAAGCTGGAGGAACTCCGTGAACAATTGACGTGTGTCTCTGTGTGCGTGTTTGGCGGAGCTTTTTCGAGTGGTCATACATGCCGTCGGTGAGTTGAAAAGACATGATGTGGATAAGACAAGAACTTCTTGTCAGCGGCGAATTTTTTACTTGCGCATCGCATCTTGTTTTTCGGGCGCCATGCTGCGAATAAATTTTTCCGCAGTTTTTTGCTCTGGGTGTGGCGATTTGGGGTGACATTATTGAGTTTGGATTTGATGATAACTCTATATATCGTATTATCTTTGTTGTAAACGGTAACCAGGAGTTATTTTACTCATTGAACTTTCAATTGATCTTTCAATTGCCGGTTTAAAACCAAAAAATGAAATGAAAAAGTAAAAAGATTGTGTATACCATGTAAATTATAAAGTGTTGATGTTTGAACAAAATCAGAGCTCTGTAGTAATGGTTTTAGATGAGTAATTATTTTTTGTTTACGGTTGATTTTTAAACAATAATTGGGATAAGTTTGTGTTCGATGTTTATCCGGTTCAGAACGGATTTCGACCATAGAAAAGCATGTTAGTATGTCACAAGCGGTTTACAAGTATTTATGCAAATGGAATAATTGGCATGTCTGGCGAACATGAACAACTGGACCGCTTAAGAATGTCAATACAAAAAGTAATTAAGCATAAAAATTGCCGTTCGAATAATAAGAAGACTGTTTTTAATAATGATTGCGCGAATAGAAAGGGTTGCGCGAACGAATCTCGATATGGACAAGTGGGTGAGTTTTGATAATGGCTCTCTACGGGGGGGTTTCAAGGAGGAATTAATTTTGAGTGATGAAGCTTTCAAACAGAAAATGAGTATGAACTGCATCGTTAAATAGTTTTTTTTGCGGAAAAACGTTTCTGAATGAGTGATGTTTGCAATTGACGGCAATTACAAACCGTTCAAAGCGGTTACGGAGGACAATGAGATTTAACTCGTACTTGATTGATTGCGCCAGCCTTGTTTCGCATCTATGCTGGTTTTCAACTCATTTACCCGGTGTCAGTTTTGTACAACGGCTTCAAAATAATCAGTTAAACTGGAAAATGAAAACAATTAAGGTTCAAAAGGATAATTCGTTATAATTTTACTTATTATAACATTACCATTGGCTTTCTTTTAAATTTTGTTTTATTATTTGCTTGTTATAATTAAACCCGGAATTCTTACAAAAATCTCACTTGATTATTATTTTCTCAACATTTTGCATTATTGAAAATACCGCCAAAAACGAAAACAACTGCAGAATATTTGTCAAAAAATTCGGGCATGAAAAATATAAAAACCAATACTTTATATATTCCAAAAAGTTATGGTTTGCTAGTATGAAAGAAAAATGGCTGAAAAAAAAAATAGTAAGGAAGGATAAATATGACTATCGTTATCCATAATCATGAATAAATATAATTGTCGTTATCCAAAATGTTTTCTTATTCCATGTTAGGTCATGGAAATCGAAAACCACGAACTGTTTGAATGAACATAATGTAGACGCGAACAGCCACAAAAATGCTCGACAAACAAAGTCTACGACGAAAATCACATACGCACACTGACCACCAACGACACAAACCGCCTTTGCGATGACCGCGCTAGCTTATCTCCTCGAATAGACCAAGCGTTGTTGTGTGGGGGTATAGCTCAGTGGCAGAGCATTCGACTGCAGATCGAGAGGTCCCCGGTTCAACTCCGGGTGCCCCCTACTTCTTATTGCGACTTGTTGATGAAGTTCAAAAAAAAAAGACTAATGGGATATTGTAAAATTGCAATATATCAGTGCATTTTATTTGATTTTTGTAGTTTAATTACGTTAGTAAATAGTGTTTAATTTGATGAGTGTTACAAAAATCTATTTCACGTTTGTGTTATTTTACGGGGTTGAATTGACATGAATTGTAATAAACAATCTATAATATAATTTAAAAATAAAAGGATTCATTTTGAAGGTTATATATAAAACTAATTGTGAGGAAAACGAACGCAGATTGCAATCATAAATTCATTAGGAACGTCAGAGAAAAGTATAAAAGCAATGATGCGCATCGCCATGATTAGAAAACAAACTTTCCCGGTTGATTTCATTATCTTGCCTTTCAATGCTTATTTTGCATGCATTAGTGTGTTGCGCATCTTCTTGTGTGTTTTGCAAAAGCATTTCGATGATTCAAAGTTTTTTTCGATTATCCAGACCGGATTTAATCAGTTCATGGATACAATCACATTATGAACAAAGCTATGGCCGAAAAGTGAAAATATTAGAATTGAATACCCTAATTTGCAGAAAATCAAAAACAATTAAATATTGAGTCAAAAATTAAATATTATCGTCACAGGTTGGGTAACAATTGGCGACATCAGGCTCAGATAGATATGGAATTACTCGAGCAACTTTTGGATAATTTCTACCACTTCCACGTTCAAACCCTGATAATGAAATTCTGAAAATAAAATGAAAAAAAAAATTATATGCGTAAATGTAAACCTTATTTGATCACAAGTCACATTTTTCTTCGGTCTAATGTCCCAACCGTTCAAACCAGATCCACACAATGAAGTATTCAAGTTTTTCTATAATTCGGTATCATCCCAATATTTTCTTTTTGTCACGATTTACATTAAAGGGACTTTCCCATCCATTTTCTCCAACTAGGTTTGATTTCCAACCGTGAAACATAAAGTCACGTTCACAGAATCTGTAATATTGAATTTTCTCAGTAATCCTACGATTTTTACCTATCCGTTGTTATGAAGCCATCTCTAACCCAGCCATGGGCTCTGCGGTATATACGAATCATTTTTGGCCATATTCTTGTTGCTCCCAATGCTAATTTACAGCATGTCACATAAGCCATATATGAATCATAACCGGTCGAATTGTGCCAATACATGTCGCAATTTTTAATCTCTTGTGTGGCGTAAGGTAAAACTGTTTGCAATATATGAATCTAAACATCTAACTGAACAATACTTTAGGATTTAGATATCTTTTATACTTGTAGAACCCCATTGTCAGCACCATTCCAATTTAAAGGTTGTGAGAATTCCCAGTCTCCCCATTTTCGCAGGAAATTTAAAGAAAACTGCGTATTTCGAACCTATACAATTAATTGCGAAAATGAAAAGCAATGAGCGAAAATCGGGTTACCAGATAATTTCCGCTCGCAATTTCCCAGTTGAAAAAACGTTCATAGAATATTATATGAACACGATCATCGATCCATTCTTCGATGCAATGATTTGGGTTGGCGATTCCTGTGTCTGCATCAAGAACAAGCATCCAATCGGTATCTTGAAGATATGCAGCAGCAGCGCAGTGTTTTTTGAAAAATAGCTGAAAAGAAAATTTTTCACAAAAACTCGCATGATTAGCTAGCGATGTTAAAAAAAAAACAACATTCAAATTGTCAGTTTCACAGAAATATTTATTATGTTTACCTGATTATTTCGAGGGCAATTCCTTTTTACGCGTTCGTCATTATCTAGATCGACCATGGCTACCGTGTAATTCGTTCCTTTCAAGTAACATTCAAGAGACTCCTGCGCGACTTTGTAATGACTCAAATAAACAATTTGAAATTTGGGAAAAAACATCTTCACTCACGACTCCATGCTTGATTTAACAAATGCAACAAATATTAAAACTTTTCCAAATATTGGCGGGCAGCTACCCATGTTTTTTCGAATTGGATATGGTGTTCGATTTGTTGGTCTAAAATGATTAATTAACGAACTGAGAAAATATTTATGTGAAACTTACACGGTCTTTACGGGTTTTATTTCATGTGTAGCTTGCTAAATTGGTTTGTGATATTAAAAATGTGTAAAAATAAATACATACATGAAATTCGTATTTCTGATAGGTAACATCGTTGTCAATAGTGACATATCGCATATATACAAAAAAGAATAATATGGTTAATGCAACACACACGATAATATTAATATAGCGCATTTTCCTGAAAAAAAATATTAGTTTGAAGAAATATCGGTGTTCGATTGAAAGTAAAATGATCAGGTCGGGAACACTAACGAATCTCGTAAGGGAAAGTACGACGATAAAAAAACAATTGAGGGCAACAGCGTTTTCTCTCATATTTAGTATGAATTGCTTCGCATTTGAAATTATCACAAGGAAATCAGTTCGTACAATACCACCAAAATGATGCCAACCTCGAGAACTTCAGTGTTTGAATAAATTACGCTAGACAAGGTTTTGTTTAATATTTCTGCTTCAAACGATAATATCAGGTTCTACTAGAAATCATGACACATACGACTAACAAAAGATTATTCGTTTCGGTACGAATACAATACGTGGAAAATTTGTAATTACAGGAAATTCGGCAGTTTACTTTTTATAGAATGACTTCTCAGAGGTGACCTTTCCTATTATATAGGTCAATTCATGCGCGTTGGCTACTTGTACATCATAAGGTCGCTTCGAATGAATAGTTTTGATTAATTTAACGAACATCGTATTGAACACTCAAGAAAAGATCAGATTGTTTCAAACGTAAATCGGAAAAGGAATTCAAAATCGCCGTCGCGGTTTTGGACACTATATAAATTTTGAACTACTAATTGCCGAATTGTTGACGAAGAATGTCTCTCTTAAGGCGCGCTGTTCACCTTTTCATTTAAAGTGTGCAACTAAACAAATGTCTGACCTAGTTTTTCGGCTATAAAAAATTGTAACTCAAGGTTCGAATAAGTCAATATTTGGAAACAATTACATATTTCTGCTTAGAAAATTAAAAAAAAAATCAATTAATTAATTAGAAAAACTCACTAATTATTCTGTATTTTCGTAGAAATAAACTAAAACAATAAATAATTTAAATAATTAATTTATGTTTAAAAAAAACGAGCGGGTATGATTAAACTAAATATTTAATTGGTGTTTAAAGAATTGCGTTATTTCATTGAATATGGATATATTTAGAAAAATAAAACAAAAAGATAACTAAACAACTACTGTTAAAATTCATAAGAAAAGAGCCTTTGATAAAATTGATTGTTGTTTCCCCGTGAAATATTACGGATCAACGGCATTGGCTTGATTGATAGAGATGCGATAAATTTGTCGGGTTTTTTTTTTCATTTCGTTGGCGGTATTGCAATTTATGCTTTATTTTTTGATATTCTTTGCAGAAACACCAGAGAACCAGAGGATCCATTAAAATAACGTCTCCAATATTTTACATTTCATTTTTATAAAAAAAAATGAGTTCACTTTCGATTGACAATTTATGTAACAATTGGCTATTTACAAGTATTTATGTATTTCTTCTTTGATAATCAGTGACAAATAATAATTTAGAGTCTGCTAGTCCCGTTCTGAGCAAAGTGTCCAAGGAGCATACGAGAAATGACGATTCTCTGGATTTGCGAGGTTCCTTCATAAATTTGGTAGATCTTAGCATCTCTCATCAACTTCTCAACTGGGTACTCGCAATTGAATCCATTTCCACCAAATATCTGAATTATTTTTCACACTGTGTTACCAGTAGCGACCTGGGCAATATTACCTGGACAGCATTTGTGGCCGCGATGTTGGCAGTATCAGCGGCAAAGCATTTGGCAATTGAGGCATTGTAAGAAGAGCGGACCTGTTACAAATTAGTTTATGTTCAAAATATTCTATTAGATTTTACTTTGTTGTCAACATCTGACGCAGATTTGTAAGTAATAAGACGGGCTAATTCTAAGTTCACGGCCATATCAGCAAGCATGAATTGAACAGCTTGATGCTAAAAATAGAACAAGGGCACATTAATTAGATTTGAAAAAGCACATACATTGGCAATAACGGTTCCAAAAGCCTTTCGCTCTAAGGCATATTTGGCTGACTCATCGAGACATCTCCATGCCAAACCAAGAGCGCCAGCCGCAACACCTGGACGAGTCATGTCGAATGCGGACATAGCAACTTTAAATCCAGCTCCAGGAGCCCCGAGCACATTGCATGCTGGAACACGGACATCTTCAAAAGTGATGACGCGCGTGTCAGAACAGCGTTGTCCCATGTTCTTTTCCTTCTTTCCACGAGTAATTCCTGGTGTATCTCCATCAACAATGAAAGCAGTGAAAGCTTTTCCAGCTGGAGTCTTTGGATCAGGGTCCGAGCGAGCAAGAACGAAGAACCATTTGGCATGGCCCCCACCGGTGATCCAGGCTTTAGATCCATTGATGATATACTCGTCCCCCTTTTTCTCAACTCTTGTCTTGACTCCGTTCACATCAGATCCCGCTCCTGGCTCAGTCACGCAGTACGAAGCAATGATTGGCTCAGCAGCCAGCATACCTAAAATTAATTTGGAATTAAAAACATCGCAGATCAGAAATCTAGCCGAGGTATTTCTTCTTTTGTTCTTCGTTTCCGGCAATGTAGACCGGAGCAATGGCAAGAGATGGTCCCATAATTCCAAGTTGGATTCCAGTACATCCATAGCTCAATGCCTCAACAATCAGAGCAGTTTCAACAGTTGTCATTCCTGGTCCGCCTGTAAATATTTGGTTCAGTGGCAAGTTTTTGTATTGTTTTACCATATTTTTCTGGAATTTGTGGATTCATAATTCCTAGCGAATGAGCTTGCTTAACAATTTCCCATGGAAACTCGCCGGTTTCATCGTGTTTGGCAGCATTCGGAAGAATCACTTCTTTGGAGAACTTCAGAGCAGTCGCTTGAATTTCCTTTTGAGTATCGCTGAGTTCTGAAAATTATTGAATTGAAAAAATCATAGACATCGAAACATACCAAAAGAAATATTTCTACAACTGTTGCTGGATAGCGCAGTTGTAGCAGTTCTGGATAAGAAAGCAGACTTGCTTGCAAAGCGAGAAAGCATGTTTGGTCTGAAATTGTGGGAATTCAAAAACAGAAAATCGCATAATGAATAAACAACACACAGGTATCAGATGGTTAAAAATAACCAATTAAATTTGAATTTAAGACTATGATTTACAAGAAATAAATATTTTTTTTAATCACACTTGGTTTGTACAATGTTTTCTATACGAAAAAAATAATTTCAGGCAATTAATATCCTCCGTTTTGTTTGACCCGAGCGAGAAGTTGGCGAGCAATAACCATTCGCTGGACTTGCGAAGTGCCCTCATAAATCTGGAAGATCTTGGCATCCCGCATGAGCTTCTCTGCTGGGTATTCAGTGTTAAACCCAGCGCCACCGAACACTTGAACAGCATTTGTGGCGGCAGAATTGGCGGCATCGGCGGCGAACAACTTAGCAATTGAAGCATAGTAAGAGCCGGGACGTCCAATATCAACCTGAATGTAGAAACCAAACCTATATGTTGAATATTTCAATTCAAACCTCATTAGCACTCTTGTATGTCATCAAACGAGAAAGCTCACAATTCATAGCCATTTCAGCGAGAATAAATGAAACTCCTTGGTGGTTTGCAATTTGAGTTCCGAATGCTTTACGCTCAAGAGAGTATTGAGTCGCGACATCCAGGCATCTGTAAGCCAATCCGGTCGCTAGGGCAGCAACCAACGGACGAGTTTTGTCGAATGTTTTCATGGCGACCTTGAATCCCTCTCCTGGCGCTCCAATAACGTTGGAAGCGGGAACACGGACATCCTCGAAAGTAATTCCTCGGGTATCTGAGCATCTCTGTCCCATGTTAATTTCCTTTCGACCACGGGTAATTCCTGGAGTGTCTCCTTCAACAACAAAAGCAGTGAACGCCTTTCCACTTGGAGTCTTTGGATCAGGATCAGATCGAGCAAGAACAAAAAACCTGAAAAGAACTTCTTAGTCCTACACCATCGATTTTCAATTTCCGATTTGTTAACCCGATGCATATATTTCCACAAAAATTGTTTTCCAACAGTTATAATTCGCGATTGGTGTCATAGATAAGCTATCTGTGACCTATAATGTTTGCGTCTCTCAATATCATCCGCTATTTAAAATGTCTTTGAGACTTTGCACTTTGAACACAATCGTACGCAGTAGAATGTAGCCTTGATAACGAGGCACGTGGAAATTTAGCAATGGGTACAAAGTCTACTCACCAGCTAGCATGTCCGGCATTTGTGATCCACATTTTTGAGCCATTAATAATGTATTCGTCGCCTTTCTTCTCGCATTTCGTCTTGATTCCAGCTACATCAGATCCAGCTCCTGGTTCAGTGACACCATAGGCAGCGACCAATGGCTCTTCAACCATGCGTGGCAAAAACCTCTTTTTGATGTCGTCATTGGCGCACAGGATGAGTGGCGTTTGAGCAAGGTCATTGGCAAGAATGGCAGTGGCAATTCCAGAACATCCATAGGCGAACTCTTCACTGAGAATTACGTTTGAGAGCATGTCCAAACCAAGTCCTCCTATAAATTTGAATTCAATTTACCGATGTCTTTATCAAAAATACCATAGGCTTCTGGGATGTCCATGCAAAGATAGCCTTGAGCATGTGCTTTCTTCAGAACCGGCCATGGATATTCCATAGATTTATCATAATCGGCAGCAACGGGAGTAACTTCCTCGGCAACAAATTTACGCAGGTTGTTTCTCAACTCAATGTGGTCCTGGCTCAAGTTGAAATCAAGTCCTTCGGAAAATTTCGCATTGGTTGTGCTGAACAAACGCGAACAGTGTTTCGCATTGACGGTGAGTCGGCTGAGCATGATCTGAAATTGTAATGATTGAAAGAAAGGTACGATGTGGGCACTGAGACAAAAATAAATAATACTCGCTGGACAGCGAACGACCAACTGGTTGGGAGTGAACAAAAACAATCTACGAACGTAGAAATGTGCGTATCACCGATCGCGTTGCGAGAGAACAAGAGGTAATGAAGAACAGAGAAACGAACAACGGCGTCGACGCTATAGACCGCACGTCCAACTGATAGGAACACAAGGTTGCGGGCCGTCACAACTAATGAGTGGAAAATGAAAACAACTTCCCTTTTATACCTATCTCGATTCGCGGGCATGCATTTTCGCGCCGAAAAAATTTGCCATCTGTGAAAGAGTGAGATGATTAAATTATGCAAACAAACCCAAACGTATAATACACACCAAGTGATCTTACTTGTACAAATAACTCATATAAATCCAGAGAACAATAGTCAATTAAAACTAACGCTGATTTCAATATAATGAAACCTCATAGTTAAAGGAACAAATGCGGAATAAGTTTATGGTTGCTTATTTGTGATATTGTTATTTAACATTTTAAAAAGCGATGATTGTTAAATTTTTTTTATTAGACATAGTACGGACGTTTTTTTTTTAATATATATTGTCATGGAAGAACATTGAAAAATACGTATTTACCTGTTAAATGATCCGGTAAACTAATATCAGATTCTAACAATCTACAAATATGGGTTTTTGATAACATCGAATACATTTAAATGTAATGAAGTTATGTCTATTCACATTATGAAACAAATTTACTAGGCGAAAATTCAAAAGAAACTAAGCAACAATTTAAACGTGAAAACCATATTTTCTTCAATTCTATCTTTCACGACAACACGTAAAATAATCAGTAAATACTTTAAGAGAATTAGAAGAGAATTAAGAGAATAAAGTTTCTTCATGTTGAATTATTTTAAATTCCAACATCAGGTTTACAAGAAAATTAGTAATAAATAGAAATCAAATACCAATAATAATTTTCCTGATTTTAACTTTAAGAGCCGAACAAAAACAATTTTTTGTTAATTTCGGTGAAAACATATTTTTTCATTCAACCATTTTTTTTTACTAAAGTTAGTGTTTCTAACTTATAAAACTCGAAATATCCAAAAATAGATTTAACGAAACATACATAAAAAATGCAATGCTTGCAAGTGGACGAAACTCTCTCAAAAATAAAAAATTTGAACACAAACTTCAATGTACGAGTGTGAACGCTTTCACATTTTTTAGAATCCATATTCGATGTGCTTTGATCGACTACGCTTTAACTCTTTTGTTTATTAATTTCCCCGTTGAAAACACTTCTGTTCCCAACGTTTTTTATACCATTGAAGCGGCGTTGCAAGCGTGGACCACCGCACGCGTCCCGACACGAATCTCTCGAAAAGAGGTTAGACACAGACAGACTGACGAATAGCAACGTGGTTGTGAGATTTTATTGAGCTTTTTGCCGACATTTTTCCAATATATGCTTCAGTTTAAATCTATTTTAATAATTTTTTCGAAGAAAATTAAAAAAAAAATGGACGATAGAATACGGAACAACTTATCTTTCACAATCATGTAATAGTCTTCACGAAAATAAATTACTCATTACTCTTAACGTTATTTTAAATGTTTTCACATTTATCAAATATACCCTTTGTCGTTGTAGATGTCGGATTTCGGAAATCCACTCAAAAAGTTCAAACTTGTCTTTCTGGGAGAACAAAGCGGTAAACCTAAACTCAAGAATTCACACCAATCGATGAAATTTTGCAGTTGGCAAGACTTCGCTAATCACTCGTTTTATGTATGATTCTTTCGACAATACCTACCAAGCTACCATTGGAATTGATTTCCTCAGCAAGACCATGTATTTGGAGGATCGCACCGTAAGATATACTAATTTAAAATCATAATTCAGAAATATTCTACATTCAGGTGCGTCTTCAGCTTTGGGACACTGCTGGCCAGGAGCGATTCCGTTCTCTCATTCCGTCGTATATTCGCGATTCCACTGTTGCTGTCGTCGTTTACGATATTACGAGTAAATTTTACTAAGCTAAGCCTTTGCTTGAGTTTGTGTATTTCTAGATGCCAACTCATTCCATCAAACTTCCAAGTGGATTGATGATGTCCGTACCGAAAGAGGAAGCGATGTCATCATAATGCTTGTAGGAAATAAGACAGATCTCGGAGATAAGAGGTAAAATTAAAAATTCTAAACATCTCTAGGATTGATGATTCAGACAAGTGTCTACCGACGAAGGTGAAAGGAAGGCCAAAGAGCTCAATGTTATGTTCATTGAGACATCTGCTAAGGCCGGCTACAATGTCAAACAGCTCTTCCGGCGCATTGCTGGTGCTCTTCCAGGAATCATTAAGGACGAGCCTGTTGACCCACGTAAAATCTTTTTTTTTTTCAGTTTGACTTGAATAATCTTAATTTTCAGCAAATGTTGTTAGCATGGACCCAATTCGCCAACGCCAAATTGTCACCGACGAAGGATCATGCTGGTGTTAATCTGTATCGCTCACTCTCAAAGCATAATGCACGTTTTCGAGGTTGTGATCCGAGCGCATAATTTATTTAAAACTTTGTCCTAATTTATTATTTTTTCGTTTCTCTGTTGGCGTTTTCTGTCAATGACTTATTAAGGCAAAATTTTTGGCGGTCTCGTTTAACATAGTTTATTGCATCCTAACCGTGTTGAAATTAATTCATGGCATCCTTTAAATTATATTTCTTCTTATACATGTATATTATCTATTTTTATTGTCGCAAATCGCAATTAAGCTCTAAAACATAAATAATATATTACAATATCAAGTCGCTAACGCTTTGCTTTGTGATATTTAAGTCTTCGATGAATTGCTTTTTCTTGTTCAATAAATCTTTTCAAAAGCCCAAAAAAACGTAATTTTGTCGAAAGCGAGCCCAAAATGAAATACTTCGCGCAAATATTTACTCGACTTTTTGTGGCCAAGACGAATGTAAAGCAGGAAGTGCAATTCTCCCTTCAAAGTTTGGTTTGTTTTCGAATTGAAAACTAGAAAAGTTTACCTAACTACATAATGAAAAAAAAAATAGTGATCGCCAATTCTATATAAACTTTTGAGAACTACTTATAGTTTTATTAACTGCTTCATAACTTATCAAATTTTTTACATAAAAACCTGTATTAAAAAAGAACAAATGCTTAAAATCCTAAAGAAAAACACATTTTCAGATTTGATTAAAACGTGATCACATTTTTGTCTTCAGTTTTTAAAAATAATCTACAACTTGAGAATTTAGTTTTCAATTTTACTATGAATTATAATTTTGTCTCTCTCGGTGTGAATAATATTAAAGTGGTTGTTTTTGGACTTCTAACCAAAATGTGTGAAAGACAAGCTTTGGGACATTATTGGTTTTTATTATTGAAAAAGCAATTATCCTAAAAATAATCAAAATTATTTTTATTCTTCTAGTAATTAAAAATAAAAACACTGCTTTAATAATAAATCTCTTAAACAAATGCAGTCTTTCAGCATATTTTTAAAATTTACAAAAATAACATGATTTTAATAAAATTTCATATACTTAAAACTTAATATTGTATTATTTGCCATAATTTTTTGTATGATTTTATCTAAAATATGTCGCGATTCATTAAAATTAGTTGAGAGCCATACAATTAGCAATGCTTTGAAAAATTAAGAGGTTGATTAATTGTTGAATAATCTTGCAACAGAGATTATTTTAGTATATGTTATACATTATTCAACTGTTGGTTCAGATCCTTGGCAATCTGTTCATACAGGGTTGTATCGGGCCACAGAAAAACTGAGTCACTGATATTTTTGTACGGGGCATCTTCTCCCGAATTCATCACAACGATTATAACCTAAATCATTCAAAGAGATATTGCAAATGTTCACACACAAACCTGCCCTTTGGCCTTTAATTTGTGATATAAGTTCGAGATGGTGTTGAAATCAGCATCCGATCTATAAATGAGAGAGAATTGGATTTCAAAATAATTGTAGAAGATTCATACGATCCACTTGTGAAAATAACAGTGCTCATTGATCCGAAGTCGCGGATTGGATTACTTATTCTTATGGCTAACTCGTAGGCACTGCAGCATGATTTTCTAATTATATTGTCAAAATTGAGAAACCTTACGATTTTAATACTGGAAAATCCAAGAATGGAGTGATAGTAGACACAAGTGTATTAAAATCCTCATGATTTTCAACATCATTGAAACTAAAATTTACTATAATTGAATACCATAATATTCATAGTTTAAAACTTCAATTGGTCGATGAACTTTTTCGTTGTGTCATATCCTATAACAGAAAATCGTTGATAATTATTCCATGAATCACTTAAATATTCCGTGATCATTTCCTTTTGATTAGTCAACTTAAATCATAGATTACACTTTAAACCGTTTTAAGATCTCACATATCCTTGGAAAGCTTCAACCATTAGAAGTACGTTGGAAGTTTTTGGAACACAGTCATCGCATTTGATAAATGGTTGTATTGCTTTAAATACTCATAATATAATAGTCAAAAAATTTTGACAAACGAGTAGTTGTTGTGGGCAAATGTGATGAAGTAACAGGAACGTGTGTTGTTGAAACCGATGACGTTTTAGGTGATGTTGTGCTTATTGGAACTGTTTGTTTTCGACTAGTTCTGGTCACAAATGTGCAAATCAGAGAATTTATCTAGAAATATTGCACATTTTTATTTCAGCATCCTACTGTACCTTATCAATGAGATCAGTTGTGTAATTCTGAGCAACTACAATATTTTCGGATAAAGCTGATAATATTTCTTGATTGGCATCCCTCATTCCTAACACTATCAAATTGCCACCAACAATATTATAGTAATGAATAGCTTGTTCAACATCATCGTTCGAACTGAAACAATTTCGATATCTTCACGGTATATTCAATTACCTTGAGTAAGTCACAAGAATAGTTGTTTGCAATCTTTCGCTTCTTCGATTTCCCAAATTTTCCGAAAGGTATTCAAGAGAACTTAATAATCTCAATTATAAATAAAACTGCTTGAAACGTACCCCGAAATACTCTGGTCTGACATTGCAAAATAATAATCGTCATAGGAAAGCAGCTCATTTGCAAATGCAGAAGCACTTTGATAATTGAATGCGTTTTCAATTATCATTCCACCGTCGGTCTGTCATGTTCAAGAACAACTATGATTTACAGACAGATTATTTTACCGAGGAATAAAGAATTGCTTGTCCTTCAGTCGTTTCTGGAGATATCGACCAAGATTTGATGAGCATTTGCAAAAATTGAATTTGCTGAAAACAACATTTTCATTGGAAACTTTTTTCATTTTTAATAAGTTTTTGTACTCTTCAATGCCCCCCAAATCATTTGAGCAATCAATGATAATTGTTACATCCGTTTTACAAGTATTATCAGGAATAGGCGTGACAGTTGTTGGTTTAATCGTCGTAGTTTCATCTTCAAACATGTAATTTGTAATTGATTTTGCAATGTCATCAGTCAAAACAAAGTTTGACGAAGCAAAAAAGTGGGATTGCCCAGTTGAAAGCTTAAATTTTTTGCTTTAAATGAATTATTTGAAAATAGTCACAAATCCAAGCTCCTGGCCGTTGTCGGATGCCTTCACATTAACTGTAACAAGCTGGTTTGGATACGAACTCAACGTGCGAGAAAATTGGAGTGCCGTTTCAATATCTTCCAAATCTCTAAATTGACATTATTCTTTCAGGATTAAATCATTAAGTTTTCTGAAATACTGTGATGAAGAAATAAGGATTGTTGTTATATTTACGTTGCGATGACTGTTGAATGTAAGGGCACTGCGAATGCCACTAAAAAATATATATATATAGATTATATGAACACGCTTTTATGTAAACTTTGTGATACTCGGTAATGTTTTTCCATAGTATTGAGTTCCATTAATTACTTCAACTACTTCTTCCTGAGAGTTTTCGTCAAATGATAAAATAGCCTCAAAATAGTCCTAATATATTAATAAGATTAAAAATTGAGAGTCGTGTGATATTTCGAAACCGTGGAATATGTTCCAAACGCTACTTGAACATTATTCTGATCAATTTTCCAATTTGGAATTAATGAATTCGTTATCCATTTTTTCACCTACAAAGTAAATGCGATCGTGATTTTTTTGAAAGCCTTCGAAAAACTTACAGTATTGAAGTTGTTTGCATTTAGAACTGATGTTGACGAGTCTAATAAAATGATAACATCTCGTTCAAAGTACAAATCAGTTTTCGCAGATGTGGTTTCCAAGGTTGATGATGGCGATTGTGTTGGAACATTCGAACTAATAATGCTGGTAACTGTTGAGACAAAAGGAACATTGGTCGAAGTTTCAGGGGATGCTGGTTGGGAAGTTTTTCCAGTATTTGGCTGTTCACTAGGCTTAACAAATGGAGAAGTAGTGGAAATAATTGTTGAGAAAGATGTCGTTGTAAACAAATCAGACGTTACGAGACATTCGAGTTCGTCAAGTTTTGGAGCAGTTTTATCTTTAACTTCCATTTATTATATAAAAAGTAGCCATGCCAACCTGTAGCTGCAATAAAGTCGAAATTGGGAGATTCGCTAATATCTGTTTTTAATTCGTCTAGAGATGGTTTGCTTCTATCAGTGTATGAAAGAGCGTAAAGAACGTTTGCACCGTTGCCTCCATCAGATATACCAACACTAAACATAATTGATTTAAAATTATGTCAATGAATGCTTAATATCATGCATTGTTATCGGCACATCGTTTGACTTTGCGCCCACAGAAGAAGTCGACAACCTAGATGTTACAATGGCATCACGCATCTAAAAAAAAAGATTGGAATTCTCAAAATTTAAACGAACTTGATTGGTAAGCTTTTTAACACTTTCTGCGTAGTTTTTTTTAACTTGTAAATACGTCACATCCTTAGATCGAGCATTTAACAAGACCGTATATCCAGTAGTTTCGCTAGCTGAATAGTGCAAATTTAAATTTAAAAATTCGTACTATAAATTAACATGGAGAAGAATTATATTTTGAAATGCCAATTCCTAGCATCACACTTCCAGCAGCCAACATTCCAACAGAAAATAAAAGAAGAATAATTGTAAATCCTTTTGCACGTCTATCGACCCCTTCTAGTAAATACCTAATGCGCAAGTAGTTAAAACATTTGCTTTGATATTTTTTCTTACCATTTGGGTTTGTTACTAGTAACTTCTGAACTATCTAGCTCATTCGTGTCCCATGTTGAAAAATGTCCCATATTGAAGAATGGATAACTTATTTGTCTAAAAATTTTTATAAAACAACTAACACATAAACGAATGCTGATTAAAAACATATGTCATATCAAGTTTGCAGTTATTTCAATAAGGATTAGAGTAATACGATTAAAACAATTAATACTCACCTTATCAGCTACGATTCATGAATTTGTTTCATTTGGAAGACGCCTAAAACTAATCAACCAACGGGTAATCATATTAGGAATTCTTGAAATTTTCAATACAAATTTTATATAAACTGTTTTATGTCACAAAAATGTTTTTTTAAAACATATGTAACCTAGAGTAGAAACCACATAAATAAAATAAAATAAAATACGACATCGATAAATTTAGTCTTTCTTTTTCTGTGCCCATGGATCCTTAGTTCCGCGTTTGTAGAGCAAGTAGTTAACAAGAGTTGGCCAAAAATGCTTCATAAGAATTGCGAAGCGAGCATCCGTTGCAGCCATGATAAAGTCGGATTTGCGATCTCGAATGGCATTGAGGATTTGAACTGCGGCGTACTGCGGTGAATAACCCTGTAATGAGGAATTGAATGCTACTCAGAACGAGTAACTCGCTTCAGTAAGGTTAAGGAATACTATCTAGATGACCTTTACATGGTTTTCACTGAAGTTGATGTAATAAAAGATTGTCCCTCACTCCGTTTTTTCAGTCACTCACTGCGCAAGTTTTCGAAAGGCACTTCATTTCACATACTTTTGTCATGAGACTGCTACTCTTCAAACTTGTTTCGCTTGCTTTAATTACTCTAAAATTAACTGAAGGTTCGTTGCTAATAATTATTGCATTTTCCACGTATACTATTTTTTGCTCAATTCTTCTTCCAACAACCGCAACAATTTCAACAGTTTGGCGGATTTTTTCAACAGCCTCAACCAGCCTTCCAGCAGCCGTTTCAGCCATTCCAACAACAGTTTCAACAGCCTATTCAACAGGTAACAACAAAATGAATTTAAGTTGATTGCTTAATTCAGGTCGTTCCAAACACGGTTCCAAATCCGGATCTTGAACCGGGTAACTTTCCTCTGCCGAACCCAAGAAATTGGCCAGTAGGACCAGATTGGAATGATTTGAGAAACACACCAACACAGCAATTGGTTTGAGAAAACGATTTATTTTTCTACAAGTTCCGATCTAGGGGTGGGGAGGAAACGGAAGCGTTAGTAAACAATCTAACTCAGCTCCAAAACCATCATTAACAGCTCCAGCTGCAAAAACACAAACTACTGCACCTGCGCCGGCCACATTAAAGACAGTATCAGTCAAAGCAAGTTCAGCAAAAACATCTCGAAGACGATCGCCAGCAAATAATAAGAAAACAACGATAATGAGAAGTAGCCCATTGATTTTTCAAGTTTTTAGTAATATTATTTTTTCAGAAGTTGCCTCAAAACGCCTAGCTGCAGGAAGTAAAAAAACTCTCAGAAGACGAACCAATTAACTCTTTTTATCTTTTGTCTTTTTTTCAAAATATATTAAATAAATGAGTAAATACCTGCTTCTGGTTTTGGTCCTCAACTCCGACAGGTTTACCGTCAGCATCAAGAGCTCGAGAACCGAATCCGGTATTGATGTATCCTGCAGAAACGACAAGAACATGGAGATTTTTGTGTTCACATCGCAATGAATCAAAGAAAGCCTACAAATTTTGCTGTTATTCTTGTAAAATCTACAGTTATACCTGAAGAGCATGCTTACTGGCTGAGTAAGAGCTTCTGTATGGCAAAGCCACCTTTCCTTGAACGCTGCTCGTTGCCACTATGCATCCATCTGGCGAGATTTTCGGCAAAAGTAAGCGAGTTACCGCAACATGTCCGAAAAAGTTCACATTCATGACCTGCCTGTGAACTTCAATGGGAGTATCAGCAACGGAGCCTCGCATCGACAATCCAGCATTATTGATGAGAATATCAATTTTTGGAATCTGGTCCCATGGCCCGTTTTCTGGGTCGTTAATATCGAAATAACTGAAAATTTTGATTTTGCTTAATTGCATCTTTAAACATACTGAAAAGCCGGATAATTCTTATTGTTGGGGTATAGCAGACGTAGTTCCTCACTTATGAGCGAAAGTTTTTCAACGCTTCTTGCCAGTAGAATAAGTTTGGCTCCTCTTGCAAACAACTCGTAAGCAAGCGCTTTTCCAATACCGGAGCTAGCTCCAGTTATGACGACAACCTTGTCTTTGAACTCCATTTTGGGTAAATTATGGGATCCAGGAATCAGGCGATTAAATAATCTAAAATAAATTTCTACAAAAATAATTTGATATAATTATTTTCCTACTTGTAAGCTCCGTAAATAGTGATAGGAATGGCAATCAAAGGAAGATAATCCTTCAAAAACTCATGGATTTTTACGGAATTTTTAGTATTCATGGTTTGATTCTGAAAAACGTTGCATTTATTTAATTAAAAGCAAAAACGAGAACACGTTGGCAAGAGGAGGGAAAGAGAGTGGCATAGCGGGTTAGTTGTAGCAAACTAAAGTGTGATATGTGTTGTGGTTGACTACGTTGTACTCGTAACTCGGTTCCTAGTAAATAGCAAATGATCACGCGCGTATATTAGTGTGGTCAAGATGAGATAGCAACAAGAAATCAAGTCTGCAGCAACAATGAGAAAATCGATAGCTCAGATGTGTAATGTGTTCTTAATTGTTAGGGAAAACATATATGTGGTACAAATTGAGAACAAAAAATAACTTTTCATTTAAAATTGTGTTGAGAAGGCCACAGTTGAGAAGGCCTCATTAATTTTTTTTTTGTAAAAAAAGAGCATTGTGAAGAATGAAAAATTGTTTGTAGAAAGGGTTACTTCGAGATTGGTGATAATGGCGACCAATGATTATGCAAATAACCGATTCAGAGGTAAATCAATGTGACAAAATTTTAAAATTAGCTCTTTATATCCACAAAAACTCTATTAGATGCACATTTAAATCTAATCGATGTATTCACGCATAGGATTGGTTAATTTTAAAGATTTGCAGAAAGAAACTTCACGAGAGCACATGTGCATATATAAAGCAGTAGTAATTCCTTCGAAAATGCATCTTCAATTTTTAAAATCTATTGCAATGTTACAGTGTCGACAAATAGAATATAACGTATATTTCTACACTGTGTTTACTTCCATAACGACAAAAGCTTGATGAAATTCACTAAATAATAAGCGAGCGCTCTCACGAATGAATCGAAAATTAGCGTGGCAGATGACCAAGCTGTCTATTTTCTTTCTTCGTTTACTAGTAACATTTGAGAACGTCAGAAGAAAATTATGTCCTTTCATTATACAATTTTTTGCCCTAATAAAAAAAAAACTGGAGCTGTTCATTTAATTGGCAATTATGTACATGTTGAACAATTGATATACATGTAGATTCGTCTAAAAATCGAAACAATAATGTAACAAAATAGCTCAAATTTCATTCCATTACGAATTTACATAACTTTGCGAAACAAAAATTTTATATTTTTGACGGTCTTCCACTTGCGTCTGGAAACCATTAATATCTACCAATTTTATATATACATATACTAGTGCTCGACAAAGACGAAATGGGAGAATACGCGTGCTGTCAGTTTATTTGGCGGAAAACCTGGTGTGCGCTTCAAAGTTTCCAATAAAAATAACAATTTACGTTATTGCTCACCGAAAAACAATCGATGTTACTTAAAGTAGACATATAAATATTATGTATATTGAAAAAATTGCTATTTATCGATATGCGCATTTTGATGAGTATCGTTTGATCAATTTTGAATTCCGCTTCCTATCATACATTTGTGTCTTTTTCAACTCATTTATATTATTATTACTTTTATTATTTGTTGACGTAGTTCGCCGACATATTTAATTTCCGGACAATATTTGCATTGATGCATTCAAGAATTGGTTACCCAAACGAAATATTATATGACGCAACAACGATTAAGATGCATATCGTCAAAAATGATTTAAAATCATATTGATATCTTGGAGCACTTGGAGTGCTCGAGCTCATCAAAATCGAAACACATCGGTGTCCGCATCCGTGCTCAGTTCTTGTGCTTCGGCCGTTTTTGTTTCTCGCACTCTCCGATTTATTCACGCTCGTTCGTTCTCGAATGCTTTTACCCTCGCACAGCTCTCGCCCCCTTGTTGTCTGCCTTTGGCCATTCGGTTCCGTTTCTCCTCGAACAGAACGGGAGAGCAGTAGAGAGAGACCTCAACCCTACGCATCAACATTTCTTGACTTTCCAAATCTTGTAAGAAGCTTGAAACCTTCCTTCTCCGCCAAAATCGCATTCTCACATTCGCATGAGAGAAAATGCTTTGAGAAGAAGAGTTCGTGCGAAATAAAAACAATGCAGATAAGAACTCTCATCATTTTAATAAATTCACCACCTCCGCCACAAGCTGTTTCACCGGTGAAGTTTCCCATTAGAAATGCCGAGGAGAATGAATTGTTTTGTTTTCATATTCATATATTTTTCAAATGATTCAAAACGCAATCGTTTCTATTTCAGTTATTCAAAAAACAAGCATTTTTCGACGCATTTGTTCGATCTTAAATTGTTGGAGCCACGGCGTCACTGCTTTGTCTATTGGCATTTTTGGAATAGATTGCCCTCCGGCGCGCGCACCAATCGGACGAGATGTGCATGTGGTTTTCGCGTATAACTTCTCAAAGAATCAATATAAAGCCAACGGAAGATTTTGTTTACTAGGCGCTCGTCGTAAATTGAAATGATTACTTGTTCTCGACTATAAAATCGACTTCAACTCCGGTTTAGTGATCTTATTTGCACATCACAAACTACGCCTGACACGCGTGTAGCCAAATATGCATTTCACTTAAATATTGTAACTTTTCAACTTTTCTTTTTGCTAATGCTCTTTAAGGTTTAGCAAACTACCATAATTGTTCCAAAAATTTGGTTCATACTTTTTGTTTTCCAAGACTCGATGACTGCCGTTTGACGGCTGAGTAAACTACACTGTACAAACGTGGCAGGTAGAATGGAAATCAAATTCGATATAAAGTATGCAAAGCTTTTGGAATGGTCAAATTAAAAGAAAATATGCCTTTATTTAGTTCAATCCTATTTTTCTCTAAACTAACAAAGTTCTTTTGGATCAATTTTTTTAATTTTATTACGTAACTTCATGGCACTAACACTTAATTCTTTCGATATTATTCGTAGGCTATAATTTTATGCCTAAAAAATATAGAAACTCATATTTACATGCGTAGTTAGTTGCCATGTAAACCAATCGTGCTGACTAACTCATTTGCTCAACAGATGCCGTTGTAATTCTTTATGCACCCATTGCTGCTCGTTGAGCGCGAGCTCAGTCTTCAATTTTTTTCTCTCCTTTTTTTCTAAAAAATATTTTCGTAAAAATTTTAGGAGCATTTGCAATAGCGTCGGCATGAAATAATCGGCGTCCAGAAAATGAAAGAGGTTAGTTCAGATTTTTTGCTTGGTTTTATCGAAATTTTCCATAATACCTTTCAATCTTCGATACGGAATCTGTTGTTTTGACGACTAGCGCTTCACACAATTGTTCGATGAATAATTGTATTAATAAAACAATATTTATATGATATTTGTATATGTAGTTACCGTAATCCAAATTGATGAATAATTTGTTGCTAGAAAACATCCATTTGTAATAGAAAATCTTCTTAGGTTGTCTACATGTTACTTACATTATTATAATTACATATTAATGAAATCGTCTCAGTTTTCAATGAGAAAGCTCAATGATCTTCAGGAACGGGTAAAGTGCAACGACAGCGGCGATCAGGCTGCAGGAGTTCCATTGAATTCAGCCGAAGAGAAGTCGGCAAGTAAGTCATATATTTTAATGGGCTCTATTTATAAATTGCGATTTATAACAAGAAATTTGCACTTTTCTATTAGCCAATGAAATGATGAATGTGCATATTCGTGAAATATAATGATAATATTGAATTAACTCGAAATCAGGTGCGATTTATGATGTATTAGTGAGCGAGCAGACGAATCAAACACTAAACGTGCAATTTTCAGATACCGTAGTCCACCAAAGAAAACTCAATTGTCTTCAAGGATTTTTGAGTCTTCGTCGTCTTTTTTATTTGATCGGTTACACCGTTGGAAGCTATCCATATGCCTATTTAACAGTTGCAGTAAGTGTAAATCCGAAAAAAACCCATTAGATAGATGATTATCATTTTAAGTTGCTGATCTCCGTGAACTCACTTGGAATGTTAAACATACACTTGAAAGATCGGATTCGCGACGGATACACGCCAGTAAATGCGCCTTCAAGATATGAAACGGATGTGCTCAGGTTTAAAAGCAAGGTGCGAAATAAGCAAAAAACGTCTGGTTGTTCAGAGAATTTTACAACATATCTGGTGATCCAGCAATGACAATTCTTATAATGATGCCTAAAAATGGGACCTCGATGCATGCTAAGGAAAACATGGATGAAGCTAAAAAACTTTCCGAGTAATCTTTCAGAAACAGCACGTGAATTTCACACAAAATTTTCTGCAGATATTTGTTCAAAAATTTCTCAACAACTCGGAACGGAAAGGAGCTTCGTTTTACGGATTTATGCCATCCATATTGTGAAATAAACAAAGTTTTCGATCTTTTCAAGGTGAGAACAAAAATCTATAGCAATGAATGAAAACATTATTTTTTTCACTGAATTCAAAGCAATTAATTGATGGGTTACCATTTTTAATCTACAATTAATTTGGTTAATTTAACAAACTTCGTTTTTTTTCTGGAAATTATGACGTTTCCTTTAAATGATGCTTGAACATTGTTTCAATGCTGTATCATATTTAGAATGCATTTGATGAAGAATATCGAAAGCTGCAAAAAGGAGAAGAATTGTCAGCAAACACAAATCTTTCCTATCCTCTGGCTAAAATGAACGGTTTCGACATTCATTTGGAGAGAAGCTTTTTTGGAGTCTCCCTTAATAGCGATAATTCAACCAATCTGCTTCCGCATCAAAAAATTACGAACATGAATCATGTTGAGGTACACTAATGTGTTCATTGAACGTCTTTGCACAAAGGTAATTGCATTTTCAGGTTCTGATATTTATTTTCCGCGGTGATCGGCATTCGGAAGAGCGTGAAAAAGATTTGACCAAATGGGAATTGGCTGCCTATGATTGGGCAGTTAATGAGCACAAGAGTGACATAGTTGATATTCAAGTCGCGGGTACCGATATATTGGATAACGAGATGATGAAGGATGGTAGAAGGCTTACTCCATTTTTTGCTGCTGGTGCGAAACTGTGGATTATCCGATAATGAGATGTCTTTTTAGGATTTGGTTTCGAAATCACTTTTGTTAGTGTCTGCGTTATTCTCACTGCTGTTTATCACAATTGCATGGACAGAGGAAAAATGTTAACAAAATCATTAAATCCATTCTATGTGAGTAATTATTTTCAGATTGATCAGCTTGGGAGCAGTTTTATGCCCCATTCTGGCCATCTCATCAACTTATGGCATTGTGTCGCTTGTCGGAATGCGTGTCAACTCTTTTATGCTTGTTATGCCATTTTTAGTAATGGGAATAGGTTGGAAATGTTAAGTTTTTAGGCAAATTATCAATTATCTTTATCTAGGAGTTGATTCATGTTTTTTGATGATTCATAGTTGGCAGTCGGTTCGATCTCAAGGATGTAGCACACAAGATCGACTAGGAATGGTTTATGAATTAGTCGGGCCCTCTATAACGATCACATCCCTTACCGATTTTTTGTCGTTTGCAATTGGAGCATTGGCGCCCACACCAGGTATCGCATTTCACTAGTGAATCGTGTTCGAGGAATTTCAACGGCTTGAGTCAAATAAAAACAAACATCGAAATGATATATCAAAATAAAATGAGCGAACAAATAAGACCGGCAATATTTATATTGTGGTAGATCAAATTCAAAATTTCTTGAACAACAGAATTTAACGATTATTTTCAGAGACACGTCTTTTCTGCATTGCTTCTTCAATTGCCCTTGCTCTGACCTACATACTGCAATTAGTTTTATTTGGTCCAATTCTCGCAATTGCCACGAAGTATGAACACAAAAAATCGTCGGTGAACAATAGCAATTGGCGACAAAAAGTGAGCTTTAAAACAAATGAACGATTATTATTTGAAGTCTAATAGGTCAAAACTTTCTGGAAGAAGACTATTAAAATTTATTGTAAACTCCTTGCCAGCAAATTCTTTTGCGCCTTGGTTATTACTGGAACATTCGTTTACTGGTATTTCGCTATCTATGGTAAGCGTCAATGTAAAACGGTACAACCTGAAGAATAATATTTAAGGTCTTATGACGATGAAAACTCGGCTCGATGCTGTTAAGATTTTGCCGAAAGATTCCCCATTGCAACGACCGAATCAAGTGCTGACCAATTTAGGTTAAAATTTGTAGAAAAACTGTTAAAAACGTATGTGTTTTAGTGTGGGCTGAATATCACCCCGTCACTATAATTGTAAATAATCCACCAGATTTGGAAAATCAAACACAAATGCACCGCTTTTGGGATATGGTAGATCAGTTCGAAACACTTGACCACAACAAAGGTTATTAACATCTCTTTTCTTTTCCTGGAATAACAATTTTAATAACATAATTTAATTACAGGAAAGGGGTCAACATTGCTTTGGTTACGCGATTATATTAATTTCTTTTACTTTGGCGAGCCGTTTGATCTTTTCGCCCTGCTTGGATTCACACAGCCCGAGAAGAACCCAGAGATCAATCCACTAGAGGTACGAAAATTTTTGTTGGTACCAATTTACCCAAATTTTAGGCAAACTTGACAGCATCCAAATTGCCCGAATTTCTCAAATCGCCATTTTACAAACACTGGGATAGTTTTATTCATTATCATATGGAAAAGTATGCTAATAAGATGAACTTGATCAACTTTTGGTATGTTTGTAGGGCAGCAATTAAAATTGACCAATTTATGATGAGTGTTGCTTATCATAATACTTCGGCGTGGGAAACTCGGATCACTTTGATGACTGAATGGAGAAGAGTTGCTACGAAGTTTCAACATAACTTTGAAAAATTTTCTAAATTCTATATTTCAGCTTTTCTGATTTGAATGTTACAGTTTGGGAGCCCAATGGAATGTTTGTAGATCAAATGTTAAGTTTGGGAAAAACTGCTACACAGGTAGAAAAAAGAAAAAATTACATATCTATAGGAAATCTTATAGACGGGGACGTGGACTTTACTTTGCATGGCAATTGTTTGCGCCATCTTCATTCCAAATCCTTGCAGTGTTGTGACAGCAGCTATTTCGATAGCTTCCATCACCACCGGTCAGAATTGGACTTGACGAGCACAACAAAAACTGTATTATTATTTTTTTAGGAGTTATGGGATTTTTGTCGCTGTGGTCTTTTGATTTGGACCCGGTTGTTATGGCGGCCGTTCTCATGTCGATTGGATTATCCGTCGATTTCATTGCACATGTTGCTTATCACTTTCAGGTGCGATTATATATACGTGCGTCTGTTTGAATAACGTATTATATAGCTCACTCACCGAAAGGAAATGAAAAACGGTGAAGTTATAAAAATACCACTAAAAGGTTCGATCGAGCGTTTGGAGCACACATTGGCAGCCGTTGCGTGGCCAATGATTCAAGCTGGTGTTTCCACAATTTGCTGTATCCTTCCACTTCTGTTCCGAGCTGTACGAAAACAACATTGAAAAGAAATTTAATGTAACTGTATTTTGTAGAGCTATTCCCCTTCTGTATTCGTTGCTGCTATATTCCTTGTGGTCTCATTGGGAATGCTTCATGGATTACTTGTAAACATACCCGCAAACATTTTTATAGATGTTAGTTATTTTTTTTAAGATTTTACCAACATTCTTGGCGGCTCTACCGGAAAGTATTACCACTGCGAACTGCTACCGCGTGTTCCTTTCGTCATCTTCGGAAAGAAGCTGCAGATATGTGGCACGTCGTGACAGCGATACTAGTATTGAAATGAAACCAATGGAAAACAAAGATAACACGGAAGCGCTCTCCTCGATAAACAATAACGATTAAAATAGACTACTACTAAAATGTGAGAATAACATAAGAAGATATGATAATTTGTGCATTTTTTCTTTAAGGAATCATATTTTCAATCAAACATAGTCATCTTCGTAAAGCTAGTCAATCTCAGTTATTTATTCAACATTTTGATACGCATGCTTTTGAGTGTATAGTCCCTCATAATTTCTCAAGTACTGTGAATTGCCATCCCCGACCTTTGGTTGTAGAAAAAATTCAGATAATTTTGGATCTCAATTGGTAGAATGTCATTCTTTTTTTTTAATGTTTGTTTGTCCCTTTCTATCCTTTCATTTATTCAATGCTGCGAAATATTGTTGTTCGCTTAAAGAATTCTTAAAACCAGACGACCACAAAGGCGTTTTTTTTCTGTCGCTTTTATTCCCAACTTTCACGGCTCCCCCGCTATTATCTTCCATCTTGAGTTTGAGCGATTTGAAAATAATTGTGCTTGCCCTATTTGAGCTCGTAATAGTGTGACAAAGTCAAATACTTTTATAGTACCCCATTCCCATTTCTCACTGAAAAACGACGCATTTTATACCCTATGATCAAAATTGAGTCGACCCTATGTTTTCTTTTGTCTTTATGATTCTGTGATCTTTCTTTAATCCGGTACATGACCTTTCATTTCTTTTGTTTTCGGCATGAGTTAATAAATAAATATATTTCAACGAGTTTTGCGTGAAATTGCTGGCAAGGGGGACGTTATTATTGAGCCACAAGTACCATTGTAGGAGCGACAACTTTTTCAAACATAAACACTTGCTTGTCGCTTTGAGCGTTTTCAAAACATTTTGTTTCATTCATTAAATGAATCAAAGCCAAATGTTGTTCTTGCTCGTTTATGGAGGAACAAGCGCAATACACATGTATAGAAACTATGTATATTTAGATTTGCGTTTTGTGGATTTGCTTCATAGCAACTCATTACTTGCTTAACGTCCCTTTATTATTTATATTCATAAGTGCGTGACGACCCAGTAACGGATCGATAGATAAGCCCGTGTTCACACATACTTGTACGCCCAAACATATCTGTAGTGCATAAACACAACCCTTTCGGTATTGTATTATTTGCTTAGTGATCTAGTAGTGACCTTTGTTTTCCTAGTTGGCTCGATGTGCTCTGCTATCTCGATAGAATAGAATTTCGTAGTTTGCGCATGTTCTCCAATTCATACTGTTTGATCCGTTCGCAAAATTTTTGAATCTTAGTTTTAGGCAGAGTAGTTTTTTTCTTTTCTTCGCTCGATAGAAATTGTTTTGCTTACGCACAAATACTCTCATACTAGCTAACAATAACAATTTACATTGCGAATAAGAATTTCCGTTATTGAAAATTTACTTGTGCTATTTTTATAATTCTTGAATATTTTTTAAACATTATGAAATACTTTTCATCTTATTAATAACGTTTATTGGCATATCCTATACCGTTTAACCTTTTTGTCTAAAAAAAAAGAACGTGCCAAAAAATTTGTTGCTTTGGTTCCAAAATGTCTGAAAATTTACTTCACGGTTTGAATCACAATTTAAAGCCCTAAGTTTCTAAATCTGATACTTATTGGGGAGGTGGGATTTTAAAAAATTGAACGCGTTTTTCACGAATATTCCGGATACCGTGCAAAAAGGTGTTTGGCAAATTGTTCAAAGTTCACGAGATAGCATTTCATTCTTTTCTTTCAGCCAACGAATATGAGAAGAGCACGAAGGAGGTATGCCATCTATATATGAAAACTTTTCTCTTCTTGAATAATTTATTTTTTGCCTTCTTGGTTTCTCACAAGAAGGATAACACGCCAATACGCAAACTCATCTATAAATCCTCATAGGAACCCTTCAATTTCTGGCTTCGAAAAAAAAGCGAAACAATAAATTTATTTTAAAAGAATTTGTCATAATTCGTTAAAAATGAGATGCGTTTCAGTATGCAACAGATTTATTGAATAAATTATCAATTTTTCTCATACCTCATAACACATTCGTATGAGAAATTGAAATTTTTTTTCTAATTTCATTCCTACAATACGTTTTTCCTGGATAATATAGTATCAAACACTTCTGATAAATAAACAAACATCATTGTGGAGTATATAAAAGGACAAATATGCTGATTGTGAGTCATTAACTGAGAGTAACACAATCCACAATTATTCACCTAATAATTTTTGCGTTATTCCTTCTCTACTTTCTAGTTTTACTGTTTGTCAAAACCACATAGTATTGCTCAGTAAGTTCTTATATAAAATAAACAAAAGTCATAAATAGTAACTTAAATTTAAAGATAAGCAAATTAACCAAATTCTCGATTTCTTTTTAATTGGAGCAAAGCAAAAATAATGCATGCAATCGCGGCATTATTTGATCTATCGGTTCATTTTTTGGCAAATCTTAAATTTTGGTGATGTTTCATTCACAGAACGTTTTTGTTTCGTAGCTTAAAGTAACGCTAACATTTTATTGATTTGTTGTTCAATATAACACTGACACTTTTAACACAATCATACCAAAACATCCTCAATATATTGCTCTCCGATATGATCTATCAATAGATCTTCTTACTTTTCTTATTTCTAACATATCATTTTTTCATTTATGGAGATAAACTGGAATAGCTCACTGAGTCATTCTGTCTGCTCCCTCCATCCCCCATTATCGTATTGATAATACTGTGATAATTTTAATCAATGTACAATGTCGAGTCGCCCATAATGTTTCAATATGGAGATCCACAAAGACATTTGTTTTGAAACAGCATCTTATTTATCGAACTCTCAATACAAATTTTGTTATGAGAATTTTATAGTTGAAAACAAAAAAGCTGTTGACAAATTTGTCAACGTTTATATGTAGATGTATTTGTATCGGTTTCTTATTTTTTTCCCATATGGTTTCTTTCGCCCGTTTGTCTTTGTTTCGTTGCGAATCGTTCACGTCTTTTCTCTTTTGCTGCATAGAAATTGCAATCCTCCTCGCCAGGTGCACGCAATTCGAATTTTGTTATTTTTGCGCTTATAAGCGAATATTCGTCTCAAAAGACCCGCAACATCACTTCTTATTTACACTTGGACAGTTTATATTCGCATAAAAACACTACGAAACGTAAATGTGATGGCGCGAGTTTTTCGCGACGGGACCGCAAGAGTGCCTTAATATGATTCATAATCGGAATGGCTGTGGTTCGCCCGCTGCTTTCGTCGTCAACTACACATACACGCAAAATATCAAGCTTTTGTTTCCCGCTCTCCTTTTTTTCTTTAAATGGTTGTGAATTTTCTTATCATCTATCTTCAATAGTTTGAATTTTACAAAATTCAATAAAAATGTGATGAAATATAAATGAATATTTGCTTTTGAACTCAACATCTTGTTTTTACCAAATGCTGCATTGAGTAATAGTTAGACTTCTTCTGCATTTTGTTTTTTTTTTGACAAATAAATCAAGTTGACAATCTTGTTTTTTGACTCAACTAAGTAAAAATCACTAGTTTTTACATGCCTTCTTTTTGCCCACAATGGAAATCGTCTCAACGTGTTTCCGGTGCTCTTTTAATCAATGTATCAATCGAATACACGGCGGTCTTTTTAATGTATTCTTATATTGTCGCGACGAAACATGTGCATATTGTTATTTTTTCGCCAAAATGAAAATGTATACAATTTTGCTTTCTCGCACTTCTTTTTTCGAAACACATACACATAACAAGAGGGGTGTCGAATCGTTTACCGCTTAACTGCTTGTTGAAAAATTAGCATGATTTACGTCTGCTGTAGTAGTGTGTACTTGTTTGAAATTGCTCGTATGTCTCGACGGGACTTTCGAAAAATGTTATTACTTCAGAAACACCTAGACAGATGCTTCCAAACGTCGTCCTATTGCTGTACACATTTATTGCATCGATGTCGGCTCTTCGCACAGATCGGCATCGAATCAATGACGACGAATTCTTTGGGATTACGACTACGGTTGCGCGTGAGTTATTCATAACATATTTTCGTAACATCTTCAAAATTTCTGATAATTTCGACCACACCAAATGGAATCATTATATAATAATAAGACTAATGATGTAACCATATTTGCTCTGTTGGCTGCATAAATACGCTGCAATTCACATTTATCAAAAAATTACTAGTAATTTAGCTTATCTTTCAGGTCAATTTGATAATTAATATGATATGAATTAAGCTTTTAAAGGAGTATTTATTTATTGAATCTTATACAATATTTCACAAAGAATTTTCACCTCCTCAACCAAATCTGAAAACTGAAAACAATAAATACATATCATATATTAAATCAAAAATAGAATTTTTGTTTTTTCAATTGTAATAATCAAATTTACTACAAAAAAAAAAACGTTTGCGAGGCTAAAAGAAATCGTCACATTTTTTGCAGCATCGTACACATTTGCAAATGCTCGTACGTGCTACGACGTCTGTGCTGTTCCTTGCACCCCAACGTTCGTCTACTTTGGCGAGAAGCAGCTCTCTATGTTTAATTGCATCAGAAAAAAACCAGTCAAAGTAAAAATTCAATTAAAAAAAATGCGAAAGAATACGCTTAGGTTTCTATGATGGACACTTTGAAATCCGGAAATCTGCTCTCCACTTTGATTCTGATTGGAATTGTCACTGTCGTTGTGATTTCTTGCATGACATGCATCTACTTCTGCTGCTGCAATACCCGCCGACCGAAACGTACTGGAAATCAGCGGGTTCAGGATGATGAGTTCAGGTTTGTGAAAATAAAAACGTGTTAATTAACCGAGTTTGAAACAAATTTTTTAGAGAGCATCTTGAAGAAACTTTCGACGAGAAGCCAAATCGCAACAAGAAATTCGAACACGAAGTTAGGCTGTCCAATTAAGTTTCCTTACGGATTATAATATTTTGATACTCCGCTCCTTCCTTCTCATTGGCATGTTCTCAGTGTTATTGTACCTTTGTCTTCTGATGAGCAGAATGCATTGCTCAAATACTGTATTTTGCATCATTTTTATTAAAAAAAATGATTTCATTCTTTCCTAATTCAATTATCTTCCAACTTCTGACGAGTATAATATATTATATGTAACGTTTATCCTACTCAAGAGAAATAAAACAACTTTTTTTAATGTTCCATATGAGCTCTCAAAAAAAAAACAGTTAAAAATATTATGTTTGTCGAAAATTTAATTAAACTTCGTTTTTGACCATAAACGAACAATTTCAATTTTCGAGATGAAAATGAGAAGTTTCGGCAGAATTTTTCAATTGGAGTCAAGTAGACATTCATCAAATCTTTCAGGCAGAAGGAGCCTCCCTTTAATGAAATTCTTCTGAACTCCGTTATTCAAGGTCCAAAAGTGGTGTAGTGGTTTCTCTAGCTCCATTTTTTGCAAATTTCAGCACCAAACAGGATAAACCCACGTGTTAAATCTAATTATTTTAAATTAAGCATTTTCATTTAAAATCTTTTAAAAGATTAGCGATTTCACATTCCATTAGACTCAATTTTATTGCACCGTATCCATTCACTCGTTTGAGCTCAAAAATCAATTTATCTTGTTTTTTTTTTCATTGATTCTCTTTTGGAAGCCAGCAAAATCAAAATAATCCAAGATTACTTCTTCTGATTTTTATTTTTCATTTATTTCTAAAGTTCAGCAATTATTAAAAAAAATCGGTGAGCAATCGTCATAAAAGATGTCGTTCAGCAAAAATTTTGGTAAGTAACAATTTCTTCTGACATATTCTGAAAAAAAATTAAAAACTGCATGAATGTATATATATATATATATATATATATATATATATATATATATATATATATAAAGTACACCTTTGCGAGATGGGCACAATTTTAAATGTGATGAAATTGAAAAAAGAATTTTAAAATATGTCTGTATTTAAAAAATAAATATTTTCTATCATATTAAACATTGTTTCATCAGAACCGTTATCTCAAAATGATTCCTATCAAAAATTAACGATAACGCTATTTTGATCGAAATCAGAGCAATTTTTTGCAGTATTTTATTTCAACTAAACTGAACATTTAGGAATGTCAAACTACATTTGCTTGTTCATTACCATCTCCGTTTTTCTTCTTACGTTGTTCTGCTTCGGCATGTATTTGATTTGCGTTCAACGCGAAAATCGCCAATTCGAGAAGGAAGACGAAGAAGAGCACGACAGCAGCTTGACTAAATCCGAAACCGTCAGCGATATCTGACACTGTTTTTTTAATGGTGTTGTGGCAGAATTATTAGCGACAATGAATCTACCATATTCCATTCGCGTATTGTATTGTATATCTCATCATACAATTATTCTAATCCAATCTTTTTTTTATTGTACATCGTGAATTAATCTGATAAATCTGTCACATGTTGTTCAAACGTCTAGAAAATACGGAAATATATATATATATATATATATATATATATATATATATATATATATATATATATATATATATATATATTTACAAATCATATATTTTCGCGTAAACATACCATCATACTATTTTTGTAATTTTTTGCATGTGAATTATGTGAACGGTCTGATTCCAAAACAATGAGAAACGCACAATACGAGGTTTAAAAACACGTGGGAAACGGAGGAGAGCTTCAAAACATGGTAAGCACATTGTTTTTGTCACTGATACGATTGATGGTTGACGAGAAAATTCATATTTTCAACAGTAGTTCTGTCACTTTATTTTTGGTGAATATTCCGCATATTTATGCACAACCAGCATTAAACTCAGACATAACTCTTACTTTCATTTCCTTTACCTTAATTATAGTTGTACTTTATAATTACGAAGGTGATTTTATGAAAGCAACATATGGTAAGCACGGTTAATGTGTAAAATGAGACTTGATAAATATTTTGGTCCATTACTGATTCTAGTTTAATAATCATTATTATCATTAGTATAAGTATACTAAATGATAAAACAATCTAAGTCGATGAATAAAATTATAAAAGTATAAATGATTTATTTCTTAAAAAAGCCGGTTACTTAAAAAAGTGTACCTATCCGCAGGTCTTGCAATAGCTTTGTGTGTGGGAAAAAATTCATTTTATTGTTTTTTCTAGCGTACTGTAATTATATTTTTGAATATGATGACCCCGAGTGTACTATGGAAAAACCCTAACAATATAACTCACTGCATTTGGTTAAACGTATTTACTAAAAAATACCACGTGACCTCACGCAACTTATAAGGAAACAAAAAATCGCCTACTTCAGACAAAAAGAATCCTTGTTTGTTTGTTTTTTTCGAGTTTCGTAAGTTTCTTTTGAACACAAAGCTCGAATTACAATATTCAAGCCTTTTTTAGCATCGTTTGTTCGGTGATAGGTTCCGTTTCGGATTCAAAAAGATACTTAATTATTTTTTTTTTTCGTTGGGGCGTTTAAAAATAAAAAAAAAACTCTAAGATTGGTTGGTTATATTGAAACAATTATTTAATTGTGCGAAAATTTACCTTACTGGTAGTCAAGTTTTTTTAATTCAAAATGTTACATCATTTTCTTTCGAAAAACAACTTTTATTGACGCTCGCAACACTAATAAACAAATGGACCAATTCCATGTTTTGCGCTGGTTTCAACGTTTTGCTCTATGTTCAGATTAGCTATGAACCTTTATTTTGTCTCTGAAAAATAGATTGACCAATATCTAATGGAATTTTTATGAAGATTATAATTACATAGGCGTGGTCGGAAAGCAAAATCGAAACAAACAACAATTTTTTTCATAACAAATTGACAAAACGTAAAATCTGAATAAACTTGAAGACAAATTTCTTGACAATATTTTGTCTTGTGGCTCCATTCTGTGCTCTCTGTGCTCGATTGACTGCATTCCCCGTTCAGATCCCAGGCCAGACCTATTATTTTTATGGTTGTTCTATTTGTAAATAACCTTATAAGAAGCATTATATCCTCTATGAAATACTCTATAGTTTGTTGAAAAATATAAGTACAAAATTTTGAAATATTACTTTGCGATTAGAATTTTTTGCATTAACATATTATGTCTTGATTGCAGATCTTTTAATTTGCAAGCATGTGCTTCTGCTTTAAAATTAAACAAGAAATCTGATATTGGATTTTTTAAAATAATGTAAGCAATTAGCTAATGAAGAACTTACATATTGCTTTATAAATGAAAATTGTATTTTTGATTTTTTCCTTATGCATCTCATAAAATTGTTATTTCTGTTGAATACAATTGAAAATAATTAAAACTAATTTTTTCACTCGTTCAAGAAAAATCACTCAGAAAAGAATCAATTCTGCTTTTTCTTTTGTTAAAAATTTTCCAGAACGTGCCTGCAAATTCTTCAGAATTGATTTAAATATGTTGTTTCCGCAATCGTAATGAAACTTTTTTTGCAAATTATTTTTCAAAATATTTCAAAAATTATTCTTATTATTTTTGCTTCAAATCAATCAGACAAATCTTAAAACACCACTCTTTTAATTCTCTTACATATGTATATACACAAGATTAACTTCTATAAGCGGAGAAATTCATAAGTACATACTTAAAAACATTTTTAATTTTGGAATGAAAATTCTCATCCATTTATTACAAACTGAAAATTATCAACTCTGCACTGAGTGCTCGTTTCTTTTGCCATTGTATAGAAAACATAATAATTTTATCTAAAAACTATTTAGTTATGCATATTTTAATGATCTTGAATTGCGAATGAAGTCATCTCATCCAAGTTTTCAAATTTACCAATATTTTTCATTTTTAATGGAAATTAATGGTATTATTTGCAGAGGCAGAAAGCGTGAATAATTCAATTTTTCGTGGTGTCACAAATGTGCAACCAAAGTTCACAAAAGTTTTATGCAAGCCTTGTTGAATTATTTTGGCGTTTGCCACACATTATTCAAAATTCATTTTTCAGAGCAAATAATTATAAGATCCCTAAACAAGTTCCAATAATTTTTGTAGAAGTACAAAGATTACTTGTTGTCATAGGCCAATTCAATAAATTTAAAAACACAGAAAATGTTAGAATTTCTACCATAATTTAAATCATTGCTTAAGGCGTACTAAAACTGAAAAATATCTGATAATGCTCTCATTGCTTAATTTTCTAGTCTTTTAGTTGCAAATTTCTTGATGAGTTTTTCTTTAAATGAGATATGGGTTAAATTTCGAGATTATTCGTTTAGAAAATTAAGAGCTATTGTTAAAATCGGAACGTTTATTTTCGAAAGTGTGACAAAAACTCTATTGAAACTGATATGTAGTGGCGATTTATTTTCAAAAACCTGATATATTTTGCTTATCGGAACAAAATATTACCTTAGGAATAGCCAATTTAAAATTGTATCTAAAAGGAAGCAAGTCTAACTAATAAGTAAATGTGTCTCAAATTCTCATGAATTCAGCGAACACTAATATTCAACACTTTCCTTAACTTCTGCCTTCATAGTTACCGAATGATTTTCATTAGAAGATTTTAAAGTCGTTAAATGTCGTGAATAACCGTGCCCGATTGTAGCGAAACCTGCGTCATATATATATATGTTATTTTCGTCTTCTCAATTTATAAATTCCTTGAGAATTTTCACATATATTATTTGCAACATTAAATTCGTTTTTAATATTCTAGTAGGCGTTGTTATGTTATTGAATGATGCGAGCGAATTAATTATTTCTGAAACAATATGACGATTCCATTTGATTATTAGTCTTCTTTTACATAAAAGGCTTCGATCCGCTCGGGAGTAATAAATACAGAGAAATTCTCTCTATCTCACTTCTTACTAATACATTTAGTCTGAATAGTAATAACGCTTATGAATAATTATTGTCCAAGAATCTTAATAGACAGTTTTTAAGAGTTT